TGTTACTTTTTCGAAAATTTCGAGTTTTTCTATTTCAGTGACTACATCCTCGATCCTCATGCTCCCCTGATACTTTTTCGAAATTTTCGAATTTTACACTTTCAGTGAATACCTTCTCGATCCTCATGTTCTCCTGATACTTTTTCGAAATTTTCGAATTTTTCAATTTCAGTGAATACCAATTTCGTAAAGCAGAAAATAATGTTCACCCCGTCGACTGATCCGTCTGATAGCGGGACCGCTCCTGAGGCAGTTACCGAGTCGGCTTACGGGCAGACACCCCACCATTGGGGGTTTGAGTGACTTCAGCGGCGGCGCAGTACTGCACCCCAAAAGCGGGAGGGGGCCACACGCAGTGGTGGGGTGTCTACCCGTCAGCCGACTCGGTAACTGCCTCAGCAGTAGTTCCGCTGTCAGAGGGATCAGCGTACGGGGTGTGTGTTATATTCTGCGTTACCAAATTGATATTCCCTGAAATCCAAAAATTCGCAATTTTCAAAAAAATATCAGGGGAGCATGACAATCGAGGAGGTATTCGCTGAATTTGTAAAATTTGATTTTTTCCAAAAAGTATCAGGGGAACATGAGGATCGAGAAGGTATTCACTGAAATTGAAAAATTCCAAATTTACGAAAAAGTATCAGGGGAGCATGACAATCGTGGAGGTATTCACTGAAATTGAAAAATTCGTATTTTTCGAAAAAAATCAGGGGAGCATGACAATCGAGGAGGTATTCGCTGAATTTGTAAAATTCGATTTTTTCGAAAAAGTATCAGGAGAACATGAGGATCGAGGAGGTATTCACTGAAAATGAAGAATTCGAAATTTTTGAAAAAGTATCAGGGGAGCATAACAATCGAGGAGGTATTCACTGCAATTTAAAAATTCAAAATTTTCGAAAAAGGATCAGGGGAGCATGAGGATCGAGGCGGTATTTTGTGAAATTGAAAAATTCGAAATTTTCGAAAATTATTCGGATAACAAGAGAATCCCAGACGTATTTTGTGAAATTGAATAATATGACATCCCAAAACAAAAAAATTATTGTTATGTCATAATTATTGAATTGATAATTAAAATCAATTGGTAAATCTCTATGACACTTCCTGGAATTACAAGCATAAGAAATATGTAAATGATGATGGATTGCATAATGGCTTTCTCTATTATCTGACGAAAAAGTCGCTAAGAATAACGAATCGAGACTGACGTCGGGACCTTCAACTATATTTCCTGATAGAGTCTGTTTATGCTCCATCGACGTTATCGAGACATTGAGCCGTCATCATTTCAGATTTAATCCCGTCCCAACTCATTACCCTCGAGTGCCTGTACACGTAGCCACACCTGTAGCTTTTGTGATTCATCCACTGGGTCAAGGCTGTGCATTTCCGTTCACCTGAAGAAAAAAAAACTACGAAAATACCTGTGAAACTTATTGCCTGCCCTAGAATGCGTCCGTAAATTACTCTCGAAACATTCTCTTTCTCGCATTCACTACTCAATAAATATTTCGTTGAATGACCGATTTTAATTTATATTTTCAGACGACCGATCCTCATAGCCCTATCGACAAATCTACTTGCACCTCAAAATTCTTCTACCATTTCGTCTCCCTCCACCGAATTGATCAGCTATGAGGAAACAAAATTAACCGTGCCGCGTTATATTACTGCCCCGTGGACCACTTCACCGGAGATTCAAAAAATAGTAAGTACAATAAAAAATACAAAGAGAGAAGACAGTGATGATAAGAATAAATTTATAAAATTTACATGTCGCCTCATGATTTATGATCATTGACTGCATTTACGCATCATAAAGTTAACGTTAAAACTGTTATATATAGTGCATTATGTACTCGATGGAAGAATGAGAAATGACACTGGTATTTTATATACTTACATATACGCCTACTAACTATAGTGAGTGATAATCGTAGAGTAGGTCAACGGAACACTGCCTCTAGCAATCTGCGTTCTTCAACTTTACGTTTCAACATCTTCACTCTGTCTTCTTCATTTCTTCACATGCTCCCACAAACATTCCCCTCAATCAATTAATCACATAGGTAAAACCGAATTGTTTACTATATATCAATTTGCTGAACTAACTTATAAATTTCCTTGGGAAAAGTAGTTATTTATCAGTTGTATCATTATCAGATAAATCATCGAATTGATTCAGTTGCTCGTTATTAATTGTAGAACGAAATGTCAGATTATTATTATTTTCTGCTCTGTATAAGACGAGAGTAAAATAGTTGATTTATTCCACCGAGTTGATGCCCCCAAAAATGGCCTTAACGATTCTTAACAATAGCCTTGACTTTAAGACTCCCAAAGATTTAAAAAGCGCATGTAATTTCACGTGAGCAAACCGGATTCACGTCAAATTTTCGGCACCCGAAATTACAGTACTTGTAGAGAGAAAACCCGCGATTTTAAAATCAATTTATGGGGCGACTCGCCAGTATCATGATCATTAAATTTTACAACAATAATATTCCCGAGATCCTCCCACATTCAATTAGACAATTAATCACGGATATCGCTCGTCAATGATCGAAGGATAAATCAGCGGCTCCGAATAATGCGGTCGTGGCCTTGAAAAATATACTGCTTCCTCTTTAAAAGACAAAATCTGACTGAAAATACTGAAATTATCCGCTCAGTGCACTTTTATCTGCAATTCCAGTTTACGGAGCCTACAATCTAGGAGAGAATCACGAGTATTTGAAGATGATTGAGTCACGAATATCCCACGGAAATCGCGAGATTTTCCGGTTTACGTAATTAATATTTAATCCTGAGAGGTTTTAGATAATGCTGATTGATCATATGGATTTCATATTATCATTTTATGATTATTTATTTTGGTGTGGGTCAACTAAAAATGCCAAAGTTTACATGAAATATTTAACAGTGTAACTCATGTTAGGATTTAATGCATCAATGAATTTTCATACAATAGGAAATTCCAATTGAACAGTAAATACATGACATGCATAACAAGTGCATGTACTCGATGTGCTCCTCCTGTCGTTTATCAGGTACTCGTTAAGGCGGTACTTCATGGTCTCCGGCGATGTAATGATTAATGGGCTAAACCAACCGATCGAACAACTCCGGTGTCTCTGTGCACACATGTTCAATGGATATGACCGGGTCCCCTGTACTTGTTTTTCCCCCAGGGGCATGTCACACCGATCACCGTGTGCTGCATGACCTCATTGCCTTAATCTACTACCTAAAAATTAATATTACACTGAACTTGTGATAGTACTCGATAATTATTCATCATTTGAAAGGATATATTAAATTTATAGTGATGAATAATTTAAGTTGGTGGTATTTTTGGAAGATCTGTCATTACAGATTCAGAAAGTTGGGGCCAGTGTAAACAAGACTCAGATATTGGCGCGATCGATTGATCGGAAAAAGTGTACCGGGGCCTCTGGCCTGCTTTTCAGTCTCCCAATTCTCTATATATCGGTATCATTATCGTCATGACTCGGAAGTAACACAGGAGATATCCTTCACACCTTTCCAACCGGCGAAATCGTTGGATTATCTGATTGTTGTATCGATACATTCCATCTGTGGATTATTGAGCTGGAATGACAAGAAACCCACAGGTTTACATCGGAATCCGGTTTTTTCGGCCGATTTGTCGTTCCAGTCTTGTGTTGAATTGTGCCACATACACAGTGAGAAAAATTTCATTAAAATTACAAAAAAAAACAAATAAACTACCGATCCCTGAGGTGAGTAAAATAACAAACAATTATTTTATGTTATTTTTCGTAAAACTGAACTTTAGAATAAAATTCATGACATCGCGACAAGAAATTTTTAAAATATTCTTTCCAATTTCCATATCTTATCATCCTGTCATGTTTCTACAAAACTTCTCTACTAAAACCAAAATTATGACTAATTATATTCATCATAAACGGAATTAATTCCCGTTCACTCAGATGAATTATAATTAACTCTGCGACAAGGAATAAATCGCGCCAATTTATATATAAAAAATAGGAACACATGTAATCACAAATTTTTTCATGGGGAACGCGGTTGAAGGTTTTCCCACTCCTATCGATTACCGTACCTTCGGCAAGTACGCTGGCGCACCGAAGTATGCATCACGTTCATTATATCCTCTAAGTACAGTCTTATCCCCTCGCTCGTGATTGAATTCTCCTCAGTAATTCCTCAGGGTTTTGGGCTGATCCGCCAGTGTGACACACGCGCTCATCCGACACGTGGCGTTCCGCAAACTCCGCACCGAAAATAGAGTACCCCCCAATATATAATATAAAATAAAAACCAGTTCAGTTGTTGTTTGCATGCCACCGTCATGCGTTCATCCCTCATGCCGTTGGTGAAGGCCCTGAGCCCAACCGGACGGGGAAATCCCTTCAAGTTCCGGTGTGTCCCGGAATTTCGCGAGTACAGCTCGACCGTTCACGTCACTGGCCGCAAAATTACACGTGATAAAATGCACCTGCATTACGAGAGAATGAAAGAAAAATGCCAATGTAAGTATAAACATGCGCACATTGTTCTCAGGGACGACGCCATGTTCCCTGTACCGCACAGGGACGCATTACGGCGTCATCCCCACACATCAATTTTCTAACAAAAAGTCTCCCGATTTTTCCACAATTCCGGCCATCAGAGTCTCCCAAAAAACCACACATACCATTTTAATCGAGATATTCCATCGAATTTTCAAGTTTACCGTACGCCAATTGCAGAATTCGTGTTTAAATCAGCCACAGCTGCTACACGTCGGGCGCACATTTGAATTCGCACGGCACTTTCCCGCGACACATGCGCATCCGCGTTTTCTATCCGTATCCCAGCCGCCAATCAAATTGCATGGTACGATAGCCCACGTGTTCCGATGAATTTGAATCAATTGAGCGTATTACGAGTTTATTGTCGATGCAACGGCCTTGACGGGCGCTATATGAATGTTAATTCGATGACTGATTGATCGAGAGTTCCCCACACTCAACCCGGTAGGGGTTAAGTGAAGTAGAATCAAAGGATTTCTTCTGGTTTTTTATTATCTTCCAATTGAATTGAATTCACCGCTTCCCCTGTAATTACACGCGCGTGTTGTCAGGACGCCGATGTTGATGACACCCTGTCTAGTCTCTTATCAATACGATCTGACGTGGGTAAAAAGTGAGGACTAGTTTTCGCCGCGTAATGGAGCGATTTCCACCGCTCCAGATTTTTCCAGCTCAAGCCTCCTCATCACACATAAATTTTAAAAGCCCGTTCCTTCTCACGGGTTGCCTGATGGATCTCCGAGTGATATCGATAGTCTTAAAACTGATACGAACGAGAGATAACGGCGGACATGCCTTCTGGCGTCGAAATCCACCGATTTATCCATTCATACTGACGTCACTCGAGAATTATTTGAGAAGCTTTCGCATTTCTGTATTTTCGCTGGGACCAATATTTAATAAATTGTAATTGATTTTAGTATTCAACTGATTATAGGAAATTTACTGTTCTGATTTCATCTAGGAAATATTTTTTCTGCAATGTGTTAAATTCTCTGAAGGGATCATCTGGTGGGAGTGGTTTTGAGGGGATAAGAATACTAATTTCACTCAGGGAAAGTTGAGCTCACCTTGGCCTATGGTATATCATTTTTTTTTGTTCGTGAAGGGCCTCGAAGTGAAAGGCATTCCCATGGAATTGGAGCGATTCGTCTCGACGAGGAGATTTCCGTTTGTTAAATTCATCATTGTGCAAAAATACTGAAACCGACTGCATCGTCACCAAAACTATGAAATCCATTTTGCATTTCACCATTATTCCTCCAATTATTCAAGTGATTTTATTCCTTCTATTTATTCCTTCGTATTGCGGATGACAGATAGATAATCAATTACTTGCAGCAAAAAAATTGCCTCAGGACGTGAATCCTAGAGGAGTTTTCGCCTGCAATGAGCTGGACCTGAAAGAAGTCCAAGTCTACGGTTTCGATTACGATTATACTTTAGCGTGCTATAAGCCCTCACTGGATTATCTACTGTACAATCTCGGTCGTGATGAGCTCATAAAGAAATACAAGGTAATCATACAAAAGTTTCATCTCCAAAGGTCATACTTTCATCATTCAGCATCAATGCGACCCGTTTAATACATCAATTTCCTCAGTACCCCGAAGAAATTGCTCGATTGGAATACAGAGAGGACTTTGCAGTTCGTGGTCTTCACTATGACATTGAAAAAGGCCTGCTGTTGAAGCTCGATAGTTTTCTACAGATCCAACTTGGAACTGTCTACCGTGGACTACATCCGGTTCCGGACGAAGAAGTTCTCAGAATATATAAAAACCGGATCATACCAATTGCATATGTCGAGTCCCAGAATAAACACTCTCACGTAAGGTTCAACTTGTCACTCAATGATTTATTGATTCACGGTGCTTTACATACCGTCATTTTATTTTATCCATATTTATTATATTAATAATATTATTTATTATGAGTATTAACAATCGTCATATTGTGATCTAAATTGCTCACCAAAATTTTTAATGAAAAATAATTATGCACCACCGCGATCCACTGAATTAACTTGGGACCTTGTGTTGAGTAGAAGGTCAGTGAACGCTTGGAAAACAATTTTTCAATCTACTAGCAAATCTCCACATTAGCGAGTTAATCGTTGAAATTTCTAGGATGGACCACATCGTCAGAAAATGGTACAGCTTGCCGATCTCTTCTCTGTACCGGAGATGGGACTACTTTGCAATGTTACAGAATATTTCATCCGTAATGGCATCGATTATCATCCCGAGATTCTCTTCAGGGACGTAAAAGTACGTATTTTCACCGATGAAATTCAAATAGCAAAGTTTATTCGCCAGTTATATTCAATTGATGGCGATCGCGATAGTATTTATGTTTTTCTGCATGATGGTACAACAGGACTCGATAAATGCCTCAATCTCGATCAAACAGTTGATTTCTCTTCTTGCCTTTATTTATGTCCCAGTGGAAGAGAATATTTCATTATAACCCAGGATTAAATATTTCAATCAGAACTCGGTGCAAGCATGCCATCCGATAATGCACCAAATGGTGTCCAGCAACGTGATGGAGTATTTGGAAGCCAACAAAGACCTCCGTAAATTCTTCGATCGTCTCGTCTCTGCAAACAAGAAAATGTTTCTCGTAACTAACAGCCCGTTCCACTTTGTGTGAGTATTTTATTACGATCAATATCTTCGGAGTGCATCAGTATAAAAACGATGATGGTATCACACGAAAATTATTTACTCCCCGTCTTTTTTTTTTCTCGCATCGCCTTTTATTGCAGCGATAAAGGCATGAAATTTCTCGTCGGCGATGACTGGAGGAATTATTTCGATGTTGTGATAGTACAAGCGAGAAAGCCGAGGTTCTTCACGGATGAAACGAGGCCTCTGAGGATATACGATCAGACACAGCAGACACTGCTATGGGATCGCGTTACCAAGTTAGAAAAAGGTGTCGTATATCTCGAAGTAAGTGGAAAACGTCATTCAATGTATTCATTCATGAGTATTATTTTCTTTGTTGAATTTTACACGTTTCGGTGGCAAATTATTCCTATTCATCAGGGGACCGTTAAGCAACTCCAAGATATGACTGGCTGGAGGGGGCATCAGGTGTTGTACTTCGGTGATCATCCTTACAGTGACTTGGCAGATGTCACTCTGGAACATGGATGGAGAACAGGTGCCATAATCAAGGAATTGACAGTGAGTCGATTTTTATTCTCTCATTCAAAGCAATTGACATGAGAGAATTCGAATGATTAAACCGTTGCATCCAGTGTCAGGCATCCCTGACTTCCTCATTTATTAATAAATTATTTCCTTCCGTCTTCCGATCCGTTCATTTTTGACGAGAGGTGAAAGTGAGCGTATGATCTCAAGTGATCCACAATCGAAACATATGCGAGGGCGCGGCCGATTTATTTAGGTCACTGGATCAATCGCCCCGATAACTGAATAATTCATAAATAATAGCAGTAAATTCGCCTCGTGTGAATGACAAGGGCGTTAAAAATTACCGACTAATTGATTTCCAGCACGAGATTGAAAATTTGAACGAGCCATCCTTCAAAGAGAACGCTAATTGGCTCCAAATGCTCACGGCGTTGATTGAGGATCATCAGGATTACGATGGGCCCGAGGTGCAGGAGCAGCTCGAAGAATGGATGAACGAACGGGATCAGATAAGAAATGAAATAAAACGGGTGTTTAATCAGCAGTTTGGCTCGGTTTTCAGGACTTATCACAATCCCACTTACTTCTCCCGTCGACTCTTCAGATTCGCTGACATCTACATGAGCTCTATCACCAATTTACTCTATTACTCGACGACACATACATTTTACCCACGACGTGGTGTCATGCCGCACGAGTACATGAGCTACTTCATGTAAACACCTCCAAAGTTATTGTTTTTCCTCAAATATTCCACATGTCCAAGATTGAATCTAATCATAAAAAAATACACTAAGATTGGATTCAATTTAATTTCTATTGATTGTGATAATTTTTGCGACAGTGAGACGTGGAATTATGAGTTAGATAGGCTAGTATTGAAATAATACCAGTATATATTATCCGCAGCAAACGAACAATACGGATCGTAATGATCTTTAGATAGAGAGAAATAATTTCTCGTCTTACTTCAATTTTTTGAAGACTTGGTTAATCGCATAATACCACGGACTTGCTGAAAAGTGTTCATAAACTCGAAGTTTAATTGATATTCAAGAGTTAATTAGAACAATGATAGTCAATGATTACAAAAAACCTGTGCCATACTCAATGCTGATGTTTAGAACATTTAGAGTGTTCCATATAAAATTGATTTAATAACTCTATCGACCCATCGAAACGAATAAAAAAATGGAGAAATCCTGCATTGGATGAGAGTAGAATAATCCCCATAGAATCGTATTTTAGTTTATCCCCAGCGATGCAATTGCACTCGTTCATTACTCGTGAAAGTTTTATTTTTCATAAATTTATTGAAATACTGGGAACTCATAGATTTACTCGTAGAATATTCTGAAGCGCAGGGAATCTAGACAATAACATAATTATTAGAAGGAAGATTATACAGTCGTGAGAAAAAATAAAAAAATAAAAGATGATAATTTTCGAAATTCGTGGCCTTTTATTTCATCCTGGATTTTAGTACTTTGAGGAGCTGTTGGAGATTGTTTTCACTGTAATAAGTTTGAAAGTCCTTAAAAAAGGAAAGTTTCACGTTGAATAGTTTATTTGTTAGTACTCATTCAACAGCTTCAATAAAATGTTATCGCCTTTCTCGTCCAAACATCGGCCTTTCATTTGTTTCATCTGAAAGTAGCGAAATTATTTCACCAATAAAGATGACGTGGGAGCAAATAAAATCAAACATTTCCTTTCCGGTATTTCTCATAATCGCAGCCGCCATGTACTGGGCGGATTTGACCATCAATAAGTGCTGAGAATCAATGGAGCACATAAAAAATGTAATTAATATAAAAAAATCAAATTACTCATCAAATTTATTTTATTGAAATAAATCATTTTTCGGGGAAGGAGGAGGAGGAGAAGAATCTCCGGCGAACGATGGAAAGCGGAAAAGTCATGTTTGAGGTGGTGAATGTGAATGAAAATGTCCCCGACGATGAACACCCGGACGAAGATGATGATATCGCCTTCCGGAGGGAAGATATCTCCGGGAAGAAGTCCTCGTTAATTCTAAGAAGAATTCCAAGGAAATTATCGAAACAGAGATTGGGAGACGTGGGGCAATACGACCGAGAGACCCAGAAGGAGATCGAGGCCCGAAGGAAGACCTTGTTCGCCTCCCGGAGCGATTTATCCCGGGTGTCTTCAGTGTTCCTCGCTGAAACGAAATCGAGACAAAGTCGAGGCTCCAATGTTAAGAGTATTGGGATGTCAGGGAGAGGTAGCAGTCGCATCCTGTTCTCAGATAATATTCCTGTGAGGAGCATGACCCTCGAGATGCCCCGAAGGACTGCTCTCCCTGAGGAGGAGGCTGCAGTCTACTGCGACATCCTCGAGAAGTCTCTCGACCAGTTAGGGCTCATCAGGTACAGAATCCCTGCAGAGGTTGACGACAGGTGGGACGAGGGCGACCGAAATTGTTGTGAGAAGTACGACGTACCTGCAGAGCCTGAATACAACCTCAGGGAGTACCTCGGCTTGCGAACTCTGATCCCGAGTGTTTCTGAGAAACTCCAGAGAGACAGGTATCGAATTTCCCAGAGAAAATCATCAGGGATTTGTAATTATTTCATTCATCCATTATCTCAGGACCTATATCTATAACGTCTTGAGAGAACTGACGGATGAACTCCGGATCAGTGGAAGATACGACCGGCTGGAGCTGGAGATCGAGAGAATAGCGAGAGTCGCGGAGGAGGAGCACAATTTGGAGGTGAATCATGAGATCTGGTCAGAGCAGGCGGAGCAGCTTCGGTTGTTGATGAAATCAGAGAAACTAGATAATGAAATTAATGTGAAAAAATTGATGAGTCAAGTGCACGACTCAGCGGCGGATATAGACGACACAATATTCCGGAGCAAATCGAAATTGGGGTACGTCAGGAGGTGGGAGAGTGCCAGATTGGAGGGTCAGAGGCTCCAGCTGGAGCAGCGAGAGCACAAGTTTCAGGATCAGCTGAGCGATTGTGAGCGGTGGGAGGGGGTGGAGGAGGTGGTGTCGGAAGAGATCATGGCTTTTTTTCAGCAGGATATCGAACGTCTGGAGAAGGATTACAGGGAGTGGATGAATATTTTCAACGACGAGGTTGACCAGCTCGATGAGGAGATCGAGTACAAGAAGCAGGATATCGAGGAAGCGGAGAAGAAGGTCGGGGAAATGTCGAGGTTGTCGGAGCAGAGGAAGAGGTTCATTGATGACTGCGTTGAGCGGAGAAGAATTACGGCGGAGGTGAAAGCGTATTCGGACGCTGTCAATCAGGCAGCGAGACTCATTCAGGCGCACTGGAAGGGCCACATGGTCAGGCACCAGTTGGGGCCCTATCGGGGCCTCTGGAAGGCTCTCAAAAAGCGGAAGAAACTCGCTGCCAAGAGGCGGAAGAAAATTGAAAACCGGAGGATGATGCTGGAGCAAAAACAAGCCGAAGAAACGAAAAAGAAAAAATGAATCGACTTCTTTGTAAATTTCATCACACAATTTTTTATGAATTTTTCTTCGCAATTTCTCCTGCAAAAGTGTAATTTAAATAGATCGTTGGAATAATTTTGGAATAATTATTTTTTTGAATACATTCTTTGGAAGATAATATGACTGTTATGCTCTTTCTGTATTTTTATATCGAATAGATAATATACCGAGTAATACCGAAATCAAGGAAATCAATGGAGATTGTCAATATGTTGGTATAAATATTGTGACATCGGCCACTTGACACGGGATTCTATTTAAACTCTGTTGTTATAGCGTTATCATAGCGTTATCATAGCCTTATCGTGGCTCTACCAATATTACTCTCAGGCCAAGGATTCTGTTCATATTACGCCTTTGCATTCCTCGAGAGAGGGTCAAGAAATGCGTGATGATTGGCGAGCTGGACACACACACACACTTCCCAAGACGATAATCCGTACAAGTATAAGAGGACGGGTTCCATTATCTCATTAGTATCGCCGTGGGCTCAGCAAATACCACACGGTCATGTTCGAACGCATACCGTGGGTCTTCCTCGCAGTCCTCGGACTCTTGGTGATCGTCCAGGCTGGTATTTTCAAGAGGAACTCCGAGACACGCACCTGTGGTTACGATGTGAATTCATTTATCGTGGATAATGAACCCATTAAAATTTATAATAAGAAAATAGAATACGATTAAAGTGAAAAATATATTTTTTAATATTCAGGGATGCCCGAAGACTGATCCGAGAAAACTTAATGTGCATTTGGTCCCTCACACACACGATGATGTCGGATGGTTGAAAACTGTTGATCAATATTTCTTTGGAGGTGAGAATGAATTCCAACGAAATTCAGACAAATGTAGAAATTCCGTGTTACATTTCCTCATGAATAAATCTCCCCAGAACAATTTTCAATTCATCAGTAAATATCTACCGACAACACATTTAACTTCGAATATTAATTTCCGGCCTTTCGAGAACTCTAATCGCCTTATCAATAAATAATTTTCCAAAATCGCTCCAGCACGAAATAACATCCAAAAGGCAGGAGTGGAGTACATCCTGGATACAGTAGTGGAAGCACTGAGAAAGGATCCCGAGAGGAGGTAAATGCCAATCGAAAAATAATAATTCGATGATTACGTAATTATTACTCTTTAGATTCATCTACGTGGAGACAGCATTCCTGTGGAAGTGGTGGCTACGGCAGAACTATAAAATCCGAGAGGAGGTGAAAACATTCATCAATGAGGGTAGACTGGAGATAATCGGAGGAGCTTGGAGTATGAATGACGAGGCGACGACGCACTATCACTCTATCATAGATCAGTCGACTTGGGGATTTAGGTGAACGTTCAAAACGTATTAAAAAAATCACAGAGAAAGCATCATCAATTTGTGGTTTATCCATCGATTTTTTTTATATGTCATATCATCTACTCCGATTTCAATTGCAATAAACAAGATAATTGCAGGCGTTTGAACGATACGTTCGGACAATGCGCTCGGCCGAAGATCGGATGGCAGATCGATCCGTTCGGTCATTCCCGAGAGCAAGCCTCTCTTTTTGCTCAATTTGGATTTGATGGAATGTTCTTCGGACGTCTCGATTGGCAGGACAAGGCAAAACGAATGCTCGATAAATCTGCGGAGTACATATGGAGAGCGAGTTCTAGTCTAGGTGGGAGGAATACGATTTTATTTCCTTCAAGTTAAAATCGTCACCTGCATCGCCAGTTAATTGAAGAATATTTTCTCAGGTAAAAACGCTGAGCTATTTTCAGTCGCTCTTTTTAATGCCTATGGACCACCCCCTGGATTCTGTTTCGATATTCTCTGCCAGGACGATCCACTGATCGATGATCCAGAGAGTCCTGATTACAATATCAAGTCGAAGGTATCGAATTTTCAGATTCATATGATTTTTCGGGAAATGCTTGTGCTTTGAATTTGTAATTTGTCCATGGGGTACCGTCCGCTAAATTTACGCAACTATTTTTCTTCATCAGCTCAAGGTCTTTTACGATTACGTCCTGGAGCAAGGAAATCATTACAAAACAGATAATGTAATTCTCACAATGGGAGGCGATTTTACGTATCAACTCGCTGAACAGTATTTCAAAAATTTGGATAGACTCATAAGGTATTAATGAATTTTGTTATTAATGAAATTGCCTCCGTGTGGCGATGCCCGTTGAACAAATTACAGAGATTCAAAGACCCCGATTTGCTGGTTTTTTAAACAAATAAATTAACGACAATGATTTTAAAGTAAAAACTACCTCAACAGGTAGCTCTGTTCTTGGCTTTCTGTCAGGTTCAGGCCAGATCCTATGCGACAAATAATGTCATTCTCACGATGGGAGAAGATTTTAATTACCAGGACGCCCATATGTGGTTTACTAATTTAGATAAATTGATCAGGTAATATTTTTTGAAACTTTACGAAATGTTCAACTGGGCTGTCACTCCTTCGAAAGATAATTCGATATAAAATGTATTTCGGTTTAATCAATCGATCTAAATCAGGTATACGAACGAGATCTACGGTGACGATGTGAACGTCTTCTACTCAACGCCCTCCTGTTACCTGAAATCCGTGAATTCCGCTCAGAAGACATTCCCCACGAAATCGGATGATCTATTCCCTTATAGTAGCGATCCGCACGCTTTCTGGACCGGTTACTTCACATCCCGCCCAACGCTCAAGTACTTCGAGCGTCTCGGCAATAATTTCCTGCAGATCGTCAAACAGCTCTCGGTGCTGACGTCAGCAGGTGACAGCCAAGACCTAGAATATTTCCGTGAGGCGATGGGAGTGATGCAGCATCACGACGCAGTCACCGGCACAGAAAAACAACACGTGGCAGAGGATTACGCGCGTCTCCTGACTGACGCAATCGTCAGGGCGGAGAAGACGGTATCGAAGGCAATTGGAAAATTGTCAACAAGGGACAAGGCCTCAATTCCGCAAGACTTCAGATCCTGTCTTCTCTTGAACGTGAGCTCCTGCCAACCGATCGAAGACGCCAAGAGCTTCACCGTGACACTTTACAATCCCCGAAGCCATCCGGTGTCAACGTACGTCAGGATCCCAGTGGCTGGTCCCGGTTACATCGTTAAGGACTACATAGGAACCGAAATAGTCACCCAATTAATTCCGATTCCTTCGGCAGTCTCTCGGGCCCCTGGCCGATTTAGCAAAGCCACTCGAGAGCTTGTGTTCAGGGCCCTGGAAGTGCCTCCCCTGGGCTACCAGACCTTTTTCATCACTGAGAAAAACAACAGCGAGGGCTACGACGAGATTAATCGCCCCGAATACGTAACCTCCATTGGCGGAGACCTTTATGATATCTCTGTGGACAACGTCGGTGCCGTCCACGTTCGATGGAAGAACATCGATCTGAAAGTCGTCCAGTCATTCCAGTATTACGAAGGAGCCAAGGGAAACAACTCAGAGTTCAAAAACCGGGCGTCTGGTGCTTACATTTTCAGACCGAACTCTTCAGGAATTCATTCCTTCGATTATTCTGGATCTTACATGTTCTATAAAGGACCCCTCGTCGAAGAGCTACACCTCATCATCAATAGCTACGTCAGTCAGGTTGTGAGGATTTACAACGGAGAGGATAAGATCGAGTTTGATTGGGTGGCAGGACCTATTCCTGTGGAGGATGGAGTTGGAAAAGAGATCGTCAACAAATTCTCGAGTAATTTGGAATCGAAGGGGGTGTTTTTCACGGACAGTAATGGCAGGGAGATGCTGAAGAGGGTGAGAGATTTCAGGCCAACGTGGAGTCTTAATTTGAGTGAACCTGTTGCTGGGAATTATTATCCGGTCACTGCCAAGATCTCGTTGAGGGATGTGGAGAAGGGGGTGAGGATGAGTGTTTTAAATGATAGGGCACAGGGGGGCAGTAGCTTGAGGGATGGAGACCTTGAAGTGATGATTCACAGACGATTGCTAAATGATGATGCCTTCGGGGTGGGGGAGGCACTCAATGAACAGGCATTTGGTAAGGGCCTCGTCGCCAGGGGAGTGCACTATCTCGTTGCCAGTGATTTGAAGGACTTGGATGCCACTGCATCCAAGGAGAAGTCCCTGGCACTCGCTCTTGCCCTGAGGCCTTGGGTATTAGTTACTCCTGCTAAAAATATGAGCTTCAGCCAGTGGCAGAAAAGCTACGTCATGCAGACGAGGGGATTACGCAAGAGACTGCCCCCTAATGTTCATATTCTCACCCTTGAACCCTGGAAGGGTCAACAGGTACTTCTCAGATTAGAGCATCTTTATGAGATCGGAGAAGCTGGACAGCTGTCACAGCCTGCTGAAGTCAATATAACGGATCTCTTCGCGGATTTTGATGTCGCTTGGGTCAGGGAGACCACCCTGGGGGCCAATCAGTGGATCGAGGACAAGTCGAGGCTCGAGTGGACTAGTGAGACTAATGAAATTTTTCCGAATTCTCAGGGGCTCAATAATGGGGTCAGACTCCAGGATGGAGTTGTCAATGTTGTGCTCAAACCCATGGAAATTCGAACATTTGTCATTAAATTCAAATCTTCTACGAAAAAATGATTAAAAGAAATGGAAAATGTGGGGTTTATTTTTACGTATTTCATACGATTTCTTAATCGTAATGTGTAATTGAAATACTCAATGTTTGGGTGGAGTCAATAAAATTTTTTTGGAGAAAAGTGTAATAACAGCTGATTATAATTTTCGAATTCTGTGATTCAAGTACAATCGATAAAGGAAATTCCCCTTTTATCGTATTCAGTAAAAGAGCCCTAACCTCCATCACCTGCAGTGTAAATTTGCTCTTTCATCCCAAAACAATTAAAACTCCACCGTGAGAAAAATATGAGATAACATGTCCAACGGTTTTGTACATTCAATCCCAGTCCCTAGATTATACAAGACAGCAGCTAAAACTGTTCGTCAAGTGACGGAAGAAGGAGCTAGTCTGAAACAACTGATTTACGAGAAAAAACACCCGGTGAGTGCACGTGTTTGACTCCAATTTGTCTCCATACAAAAAATATACTTGAAATATCTATTAATACAACACTGTATTACTGTAACAATTTTCAAATTATTGTCACTAACAGCAACTTTCTTTACTTGATTTTCCCTTTAAAATTTAGTACATGAAAATTTATTGAGAATTTAACATCTAGAATCTGAAAGGAGTCTACGCCCTAGCAACAACAACTCTCCACAATAGTGGAAAACTCAACGAAATAATCCGAAAGACTCAATTATTATTCAAAGAGCCTCGTTTTGATCCTTGGCTAGCTCGTGTCCTCATAACAGAATTGATATGGGGAAAGGGAGTGCTAAAAAACGAATCAAAGCCAATTCAAACGATTCTCACATATGAAAATGAAATTCGTCAGCATTTGCAAAGCTCTACCCCAGAATCAGCCTCAGAAGAGCCCAAGAAAAAAGGTAATTCCTCTCACTCCTTAATAAATTCTCTTATTTTTCCAGAGATCGTAGAAATCGTGACGCCAACCCTTGGATATTCTCACTGATGCTTTGATGGTTCTCATCATACGAAACAATCGTATTCAGTCAAGAGACAGATCGAGATTCAACAGATTATTTTCTTACGTTGTACCTCGAGAGGCAAAATCAATTAATCAATCAATTAATAAGAATCCTGTTAATTCAGTCGATATGAGTCTCGTCAATGTCCTGGGAACACTGTTCCTCTACAGTGCTGCCATGTTTACTTTACCATTTCTAGCATTTTATGGTGTCCAGCATTTTTTGAATACAGAGTATCATTTGGAAAAATTCACTAGCAATTGCATTTCGGTTTTGGCTGCTGTCGTTGTGGTCAATCTTATTATCGCTTGTTATGCTTATAAGGCTCTCATGGAGCCAGACGATCCGAAAAATGACGACGGGATTGATGACGAACAGGATGATGATCACGATAAGAGAGATTAATTATTATAAATTAGATTAATCCTTCAGTCCTTCAATTCCATTTTTTTTACGTAATATATTCTCTGAATTACACGCAGTATTTACGAATGTATAATTGAAGTTATGTAGAGGATTCATTATTACCGATCAATGTGAGAATAAATTTATATCGATATTAGATTTTGCATTTTTATTTCCTGACGCGAACAGCTAATCCCTAAAATCCTGTTTTTTTTATTTTTTTTTTAGAAAAATCGAGGTATATTCGGATTAACACTTTGGTAAAGAGCGTTGAGGATGCAATAGAGGGTTTCAAGTGGGATGGCTATGAGCTTTTACCCAGATCCAAGACTTATGAAGAGTTTTTGGAGACTGTGAGAAACCTGGGGAACTGGCCCTATCCAGTGTTCATCCAAGATTTTCATGTGGAAGAGCTCTTTGCTTTTCCAGCCGGAACTCATTTCTATGATCATCCTGGGTATAAGTCTGGAGCAATTATTCTGCAGGATAAAGTGAGAAACTCATCAATATTTTATTCTTCATATTTAAATTATAATGCAATGGACGTCTGCACGTAATATGCAAATGAAGAATCAATACTTTGCATTACTTCACAGGCCAGCTGTTTACCTGCGTATTTACTGAATCCTAAACCAGGTTCTGTTGTGCTCGACATGTGTGCTGCACCTGGAATGAAGACAACTCATTTAGCAGCAATACTGCAGAACAGAGGGTATGATTATTCATCATGATTATAATGAATCATTATCTCAAGAATTTCCGAAAAAAAAACTTTCAGAAAAGTAATTTCGGTGGAGAGAAATATGCGAAGATATCAAGTTCTATGCGAAATGGTTAATCATGCGAATACTGAATGCGTTCAAACGTTTAATCGAGATGCGTTGACGTTAAGTCCTGAAGAGTGTGAGGATGTGCAGTATATTTTAGTCGACCCTAGCTGTTCTGGATCGGGTAAAATTTCTGATTCAATAAAAATTCATGTAAAAAATATTATTCAATTCATTTTTATTAAAAAAATTCATTGTCTTTCGCTCTCACAGGAATGGATCGACCTGAATTCGAAAACAGTCAAGGAAAATGTGCTCCAGGTCGACTGAAACGTCTCCAATCATTCCAAGTTCTTCTTCTTCGTCACGCGTTGTTGAATTTTCCAACAGTTAAGAGAGTTGTCTACAGCACTTGTTCGATGTACCCAGAGGAGAACGAAATGGTCGTCGATGAAATTCTAAGAGATATTGGAAAATCCTATGAACTAGTTTCCGCTAGAAAATTATTGGAAAACCACTGGATAAACTTCAGTTCCAAAGATTACGAATGTGGAGAAAATTGTTTGTACGCTAGACCAAATATCGACCATAGCAATGGATTTTTTGTGGCTGTCTTCGAGAGAAATCCCGATGTGCCTCTCCCTGATTCGCACAAGAAGAGAAAAATGATTGAAAATTCAGTGGATAATAGTGTAAAAGGAGCTGATGAAACTCGGAAAGATAAAAAAGGGAAGAAGAGAAAAAATAGAGGAGATTCAGAAACAAAAAGTGATTACATGAAATCGAATATTGATGAGGACTTGAAGGAGGTGAGAATATCAGATGAATTGAGTGAGGGAATAATAAAGAAACGGAAGAAGACACGTGGAAAGGATGAAAGAGGAATCGAAATTAATTCCCTCGATGAAGGAAATAATTTAAGTAATAATGGAGAAACTGAAAAGAGGAAAAAGAAGAAAAAAAGGAAGCAGGAAAAAGAATCTGTGGAATGTGACTTTAATTCAGATGCTCCTGAGGAAATTTATGAAATGTCTGAGACGCCCCCGAAAACCAAAAAGAAGAAAAAAAGAAAATCTGACGTTTCCTCGAGTCAATGAATGTAAAGTAGAATTATAGTCGTAGATCTCCGCAATTTCGTTTTTCTCGCATCCTTCCGTTTCTCCATTCTACTGCCTCCTGATTATAAGATGTGAACAATCCATTGTTTCGTTCCGTGAGGAATGGAATTCCGGGCAAAATATAATCGAAAAATTAATATCTCTCGTATTCCAATTTACTACGAAGAATTTTAGTTTATATTCGCGTCCCCTAGAGCCCGATGTAACTATAACGAGTGTCTAATGTACAACAAATATTGAATACCTAATAAAATTGTTTATTCTTTATGAATATTTCCTGGGCTACAACTTTTAATGGAATAAAAATTTACGCCTAGAAAAATCAATACCCATTGGATTAAATTTCCCAGAAGTTAGTGACTTCTCTCCTCGAACCTAAAAAAAATTCCACCCTGACATTATTTACCCGAAAAATATAATTATCCCAGACCCCAGAATTTTTTTTTTCGCCTCAAGGTGACAGTAAAAAATAAATCACCACAAATGACTAAATTACTGCTGTCAAAATGATTGGATCTCATGAACATAGATGCATTGAAAATATAATCTGATTGGAATGGCTTTTCATCGATTTTCCCCAGAAATATTTTCCAGAAATCCCCGAAATTAACGCGGCAATTCCATTTAAATTTCTCAAGCGGCACGCGATGATTCCATAAAGCATAACTAATTGATAAAATACCTGCACTCGCATTATTCACGCCCATTTTTCATTTAAGTTTGCATTATTCTTCGCACTGTCTCATTCGTTATCTAAGGGCCAATTTCACGAACTTGTTCAAAGGTGAAGAGAATTATAAATGATAGTTCCATAATATCTAATTTTACCCGCAAGTGGGTCGAATGCCCTTGCATACAGGTAATACCTTGCATTATCCACACTTTAATCACCTGATAAATTTAAATGTCCGGGTATTTATGAGCTGACCGTATGCACTTGACCGTAAAACCACAAAATTATTTAGAAATCCCATTCAAAACACAAAACCAAAAAAAAATGTACTAAATATCTCTTTTTGGATTAAATGAGTTGTTTCTTTGATTCAAATTGCAATTAATTTTGGAACGACTGATCTTTCAGTGACAATACGGCGGGATAAAAGGGGGAGAAAAAATTAAAAATAAACTGGCGAGATCAATATATATGGTAATAGACTCAATGTGGGTCAATCTCAAACACAAAGCATTAATTTTCATGGCAATAACTGGAATGCAATATGAGAGTGTGGAAAATGACCAGTTGCAGTGGTTTGCAATAAAAAAATTTAAAAAATCCCCATTCCTACGACACAATTAACGGGTCTTACGTGTAATTTAAGGGGCTTTGTGGATAAAAACGAGGGGGAAGAGGGAAAAATTAAAATTGCTCAGAAATTCTCCCTCACTCGGTCAACTTTGCACGCTAAAAACTCATTCCCATTTCGAGTCCTCAGTTTGTCGGTGGAACACATGGCAATGGGCCCCACAGGGACGAATTATTTTCTCGTGAAAAAATTGTTGCTTTAATTGTTAATCACGATTTCTCCCTCTGCGAGAAAAATCTCTTCGACATTTTTCGAGAAAACACAATAGGTTTGAGGTATTAATGAATTCGGTTGCTTTTGATGTTGGGGTGAAAGTACAGAAGAAAGTGGAGTGCGTGACGCAAACTGATGGCGATAATTTCTCATGGCACTTGTCTTGTACTTCGCCCTAAGTGTTACTATGTACCACGTACATAGACCATTTTCTGAGGAATTAGTCTGTTATCACACGTTTAAACCTCTCGATTTCGCGCTGACTCTGGCTTTTCATAATCACGTTATTATTTTAAGTAGCAGAGGCTCGAGCATTGACTTGAGACCTGCGTGTATCAACATCATTTGCCCCCAAAAACCCTCTATTAAACTTTGCATAAATAAAATCGAACGTCTTCGCATTGAGAATTAGATCTTCGATTGCGGTTAGTCGAAAAGGGTGTGGCATGGTCGATGAAAAATCTACCCTTAATGGAACATAAAACTGTCATACGCAAGAATAAAATGACCAGTGATAAAATCCATTAACTTGGAAAATACAATATTTCATGATTTTTATAGTAATAATTATTATCGCCGGAAATAACTCTGTGATTTTTTTTGGTAGTTGCATGTTCCATTGAAATACTCTCATAATTTCAATACCCGTTTTTATTACACATCACTTCCGGTTCCGTTGGGAAATGAAATAGCCGGGATGGAATAGCCTTAATAATTTCGGCTTGATTGGTCTCGAGGATTTGACGAATGAACGAATTTCACATTTATTTCAACATTAGAATATTCGGTAAATAACACGCAGGAGTTCCTCGTCGCGTGTACGATTGGATGAGTTGATAACAATGGAATACAGAATGAATAGAAGAAAAATTTGTATTTTGTCGAACACGGAGTAATTTAAAAACTAACTTCTAAGACTTAAGAAATTCGGCGTATGCATGCATTTCACGTGGTACATTACATATGCAAACATGAACGCGATGTAATTACAGATTATCCTGAAAATCAAGACTTTTTTTAGGACACACGAAAGTATTTTACGTCGAAGCTCCAGGCTCCTGATAAATAAATAAACTATTTTTACAGATTTAATATTGCGTATTTAATATTACGTGTAGTATTCAAATGTGGATATTAATATAATGAAATAATATGATATTTTTCTCGGCGTGGAAAAATGAAAAGCCGACGGAGAGAAAATTATTGAAATAATAAAAAAAGTTATTTAGCGAAGGTTTATTGGGGAGAGGCAAATAAGTAAAATGGAGTAATAATTTTAATTGAGGTGTGCGTCCCGATGCGCTTTTGTCGGCCATTCCGGAAGTTCATCCAATGCGGATAAGAGGGTGGTACTTTGGTGGGTTTACCCTCGACCAATCAGCAAGTTGCGTCAATAATCCGTTGCGGCTGTCTCTTATCAATCCACCTCGGTGAAGAAGGCAGGAGTATCGCTGATACGAGGGTAAATGCCAGCGAGGGAGCAACAAGTTCAAGAGGGTGGCTTTAGCGGTTCACCGACCTGGTGTGGAGGGGTTCGAGGGTTCAACTCTGTGTTTTCTCAATTTTCTCGACGCCGACGCACCTCAAACAATCCTCAGTGCAAACTCCGACGGCGACACATTCGACGTTGGGACGGCACCGTCGAAGGACGCGCGCACTTCTCCATGAATATGTAAAACTTTTTACTTCATTTCAATATCGCGTACACATCGACAAGTTCATTTGCATCTCAAGAATTTGCATTTTCTCGTTTATGTGTGATAGATATCGATTTATCATTCTCCAATTTGCTATTCCTCTTCTGGCAGTGATCGCTCCGGAGGTAATTACTCGGTGTGATTTTATGGTGATTTTTTATGACAATTAAAATATTAATTGAACTGTAATTTCGGGGTAATGATTCCGGTCGTTTCATTCTCGTGATAATGAGTTGAGTGAAATTAAAAGTTGAGTGGAATTAATTTATCATTCGTTCAGGGATAAAATTTATCTGATGAATGACACCTATCTTAAATAAAAAATTGAATTGAGTGTGACTTAATTAAAAATTGAGAAATTTCTAATCGTCTTGGTCTTTCTTTGACCCTGGAGAAGAGGTTCTCGACCCCGGCCTCGTGTTTCCAGAGGGCAATGCACGGATGGAGAATTTCTGAATGACTTAAAATACTGTCTCACCGACTTAAAAATTCATCATCCAGGTGATAACATAAACGGATGAATCATTATCCGTCTTTCTCCCTGAAAGCACTCACTCCTCGTAATTACCCAGGAGGTGTCTAAAAACGTGATAGGAGTTACCGTCGAGGGGGTCTTCTATTGATTTAGCATCGCGCCAACTCATCGGGCATCAAAACCCGCAGATAACGAAAAAAAGAAAGAAGAAAAAAGAAAAAACCGCAGTGAAGCGCAAAGTAAAGGCCACCTGCAGTTGTAAAATCAAAGTCACGCTTTCTGAAAGTGCCAGGGACCTTTCTTCGCGATTTCGAGGGCAGAAGAAACGTCTACAGTCACTGGTCATTTTCAAAAGTGTTCAATCGATCCAAGGTGATTATCCTTGTAATCACGCGACATGTGACTTGCATCTACACTCCGGTAAAGTCATAAGTGCAAGTTTCTTTTTATTTTTGCGCCTTTCCCCGCTGACACGAGAACTTTTTATAACCATCGACCTTACCGGGATTTAACGATAAAATAACTGAGGCATTTGTATTTAAACTATTCTGGACGAGAACCGATAATTATTCCTCTCTGCTCATTACCCGGAATATTTTACGCTTATCGAAAATTTTCATCATCAGTAATTAGAGATTCTTGATAAATTTGTTATAAAAAAAAGTGAAAAAATTGCACTCTGCGAAAATAATGAAAAACAATCGGTAGATTGAAAGGCGATAAAATAAGTGTAGACCAAAATTTCAATTGTATAATTGATATAAAAAAAAAGAAGTACAATAAATAATTTGGATAAAAAATAGTGAAATGATAGCAGCAAATCATCAGCAGCAGTCGTGTGGAAATTCTGCTGGCAATCATCACGGTGAAATGAACGGAGTTTCAACTCAATCAAACGTAAACGGCACATCAGTCCATCAAAGTCCCCAAGAACCTGGGGACCAGCAGGAGGCGCCTCATCGCGACGATTCGACGAAGACCCCCAGCCGAATGGCGGGTACCCTGGTAAAGTCAGTCGGTACAGAGAATTCCGTCAACGCCGTTGAGGATCACGCTATCGACGACGAGAGCGTCGACGACGAGGAGGAGGAGGATGAGGAGGATGATGATATAGTTGGTAACGGTGGCGCAAGGGTAGTTGATAGTGGTGGTAGTGGTGCTGGTGGTATGGGATCAATGGGATCAATGGGTGGGGTAGGTGAGGACGAGATGGGGGTGATGGAAATGAGTGGTGGGGGTGGTGGTGGTGTTGGGATGGGTGGCATGGGCGGCTACTGGAGGCACAGCAGACCCTCCAGTCCCCGCATGCCGCCTCCTGAGCAGCCTGACCAGAGGCCCAAGAGCCGACACGATAGCCTCTCCAATACAACAACGAGGTACAACAATCTTGGATACTGGAGGGCCCGACGTGTCACATTCTACAAGAATGGTGATCCCTATTTTCCAGGTGTTGAATTCAGGTACATTTTTTTCCCTTTTCATTTTTCATTTTTCATTTTTCATTTTTTTCATTTCGATTATTAATATTATGAAAATTTATCGCATTCTCTTTGAGCACGTCACATTAGATTATTTTTAGATTATTATTTTATTACTAATAAAATTGCATTTATTGAATCGAGTAATTATTAAATTTATTTAAATGAATAGATTAAGAAGAAAGCTTTTGTTGGGGGTAGGTCTCGTGCGTCCTTGGTTGTATTTATGTGAGTCATGTAACTTAGTCTAGGTTTTGTTGTGTAGGTTTAAACCTGGACGTGACATTGGCTCACTCGAGGCCCTCCTTGATCGACTCTCCCTACGTCTCGATCTGCCCAGGGGTGCCAGGCATATTTTCTCCATGGACGGCGACAGAAAGCTCAATCTCGATGAACTCGAGGACGGGGCATCCTACGTGGTCTCCAGTTACAAGACATTCAAGGTGATCCATCACTTTTCTCTTCATGGATAAATACATTAAATCATCTAACATTTAACTATCAATGATAATTATTATAGATTCACTCGTTTTTAAATTTGACATAGTGGAGTAATGAATTCTGTTATTTATCGATTGCATCCGTGAATAAAATTCAGATTAAATAACTGGAGAAATAGCTAGCGTGTTTATGAGAATCTCAGGAGTGGAGGGACTCGTGATAATTTGATTCAATCGGATGGAAAAAGTGGGTAAGGAGTAAGAGTAAATATTCGATCCCTGCGTTGTGTGCGATTAAAGTACACTAGGGTCTCACCCTTTTCCTCCCATATTCATGAGGCAAAAGCCACGCGTGTCCTGCGCAAAACATTTAAGTCTTTCTTCGGCTCGAGTGGGAGTCCGAGGGAGAGAGCAGGTGGAGAAATGCGAGGGGTAATTTATAAAGAACAGAAAAATGAAGAAAAAACAAAGCTGTGTATAATAACCTCTGACTGAATGTTGATCTGGCCCAGATCAGGGAAAAATAGGCCACACGCAATCGAGTCTGTTTGAGGGCACGTCTGGACAATCTGTCGATCGAGTAACCTTGAAGACTGAGGGATGAAAATGTTCAGGCGAAAGTACTTATTAACAAATTACAGGAATTATTGACGGACGCCTGTCTGACCATAAATTCCAGTTTCTACTTGATTCCGAAAAGATAATTTTTTTGCCAATCTGTTCTACAATAGGTGATGAGAATTTCACTGGATAAAAAAATACGAAATTAATTATAAGTGACTCGACATCGAATCGTTCTGATTCTATTGACCGATATTTAAGGGTAAATCAATCGGTTGATTGTGATTTACTGGACATCATGGGTCACACCCGATATCAAGGGGATTTGCAAGGTGCGGTCACGATTGAGTTTCGATCGCTGTCGATATTCTTGCATGTTTTTTCTGAGAATCACCTCGCCTTAATCTGTTTAAGTAGCCGTTAACTGAGTTAAAACTGCAATCGCCACTCCCACGTATTTCCTAATATCGAAGAACAGATGCCTTATTCCGAATGCGAATTAAAAATGAAATTGTATTGGTTCGATTGGAAATTTTTTATCCCGTGTGCGGAATTCTCTGGACAATGTTTACCAGCAGCACGTGGCCCTAGACTTATGTTTGCGGTCACTAACACAAGGGTGAGGTGCAAACCGCAATAAAATTGCAAAGTGGGGACTTGCGTCTGACATGCGCCCTTTATTTCCCCTTCTCTACTGCAATGAGAATTACACTAATACCACTTGCTCTTCAAAGTGGATCGCTCTATACCCACCACCCCTTTTCTCTCATTGTTTTGATTTATCGACTATAATGATAAATCTACATAAATTGCGAAAGAACCCAATTACAGGTGGAATTTATTGCGGTACTTGTGAATTGATTTGAATTTCTCACGTTTTTTTCGTGCTGTTGCGACAGGAGAACAATTTTTATATAAAAATAAAGAGGAATTTTATTAATAAACAATTTAATATTCAATTAAAAACAAATTAAAAATTGCAGAGGATTGTTATCTAGGTAGACAACAAATGAAATTAGTGAGAGATGGAAATAATGATGGGGGGGACACGCATTTAAATCCCGGAGGTATGAATCACTCGGTTAGGGGTGAGTTGAAAAGAAAGTTGGCAAGGGGGTGGCAGGTGGGTTTAGACTTCCGTTGGAGGTTATGGTTGCAGGAAGGGTAGCAGAATGCCGACCGATGCGAGTCCAGGAAAGACCGTATCTCATTGACCGTTGGTCGGACCCCAAAGGGGATCAATACACTTGCTGGACGATCTCACTCGCCTATTCACCTATTCCACCAGAACGTGGATAAAGTCCATTCGAATGGCCGAGTCCACATTCAGACTGGTGTCCATTCATCAGACCAATTCTCAACTCCCAAAAAAAAGCGATCCAATCCATCGTTTCCTTCATTAAATCCTTCATTAAATACTTCATTAAATCCTTCATTAAATCCTTCATTAAATCCTTCATTAGATCCTTCATTAAATCCTTCATTAAATACTTCATTAAATACTTCATTAAATCCTTCATTAAATCCTTCATTAAATCCTTCATTAAATTATTTTTTTACTCCCAAAGAATATGTAAACGAATTATTTTTCATTTATCACCGCAATTGCGGTTTAAAATTGCGCGAATTATTCCCAAAAAAAATTCATCACACGAATAACGAAATCACTTATTGCTGAATTAAATTTCTGCATAAATCAGTAATTTATCCATTAAAAATGGCACCCTCGGTCTTCGCCGTAGCATCAATCACCGTCAGAGACATATTTCATGAGTGATATCAGTTTCGATCGTATATATTCTGTTATTCGGACAATAACCGTTCCGTTCTCCGGATGAATTTCATGACTTGGCAGTGTATATCAGCATGAGAGATCGCCAGTATTTACAGGTCAAGCCGGTCGTGGAACTCTTCCCATTAAATTTCACCTATTCCCTCAATCCTGCTTCACAATATCTGTAATATTGTTATGCATTCAGCAAAACTCACTCCATCACCCTAACACTGACATTTTACATTCGATGGTACATGGGGTTGAATTTAGTGATGGCTCTCGTTATCTTATTCCACTCGAGGTTTTATCGTTCAATGTCTCGTTATCGTGGGGGTGCAATCAACGGTTTATCACCCACTGGGGCTATTTATTTACTTTATATTGAACTAGTACTGGTCTAATTGCACTCTCTCTGCTCGATCTGGAGTTATTCTCCTATTATCAGAAGAGATACCACTCAACCCGGCATTGATGTCCCCTTCATTCGTTTGCTCGTCCAATGCTTCCGCTCATATAATTTACAATCCTTTCAATTAATATTTCGATGAATATCAACTCTCCTCTCAATTCTCCTCAAATTATTATTTTCGCATAATTATTTTATTCATCATCGCCCCAAAATTCCGCAGGTAAATTAAAAAATTGATAAGTAATTAATTTGATATATCATCTGAGAGCCGAATCCTTGCAATCTATTATGGAAATTTTTGTTTTAAACGTCACCTGCATTTCCTCCACTCATAATTTATTAAAATGAATTTTTACGTCTATGTTGTAAACGTTGTACATCGCATGTATTTAATTATTCGACATTTTTTCCCCTCTGTTCGAGACTACCAGCCATTTTCCACACGCGTGACGATCCGTCAAGTTAAAGGGACTGAGGTTTTTCCTCATTTCCATATCTTAAATCCTCAGTACACCGCCATTTTGCCACCGGCTGACAGCCACGTATGGAGGGGCTACTGTAACGCGATAACAGAATTAAATCTCCCACTGTAATTCACTGGTTTTTTTTTTATTGCATTTCTTTTTTATCCCATTGGTATATTTAATGCGAGGCGCCACTTGCCGGATGTCCTGGAGCACTTCTTTACCCGTCGGGTTTTATCGCCACTGCTGTCGAAAAATTATTTATTTCGGGGAAATAAAAAGAATTGCAATTATAACAGAAATTATTTGTTTTTGTTATTTTTTTTTATGGAACAATAATTTTATTTGTATAGCTTCCCTTACCGGTGCTAAAAGAAAGTAAAACACCGGAAATATACTCACTTTAGTTATTCGCATGAATAAACAAAGCTTTAACGAGTAATTAAAAGTAATTTATTCATCCAGACCCATTGATTTTCTACAACTCGAGGCTCAAGCACTTTTCTAATGTATCTATTTATTATCAGGAGATATCAAAGTGATTCCATTGACACGCAAGCCTCATTAATTACCCCATTGAACCGCCGAAAAAGTGGCGGGGTCTTAGCGTTTTTTTAAAAAATGTTTCCTCAGCCCTGACTCTTTTCCAATGCACCTCATACAAGCATTTTCCCATTTGCATTTAATCACGAGAGCCACGAAAGGACGCGAGAAGCAATCGTGTGCTTTCGTGTGTCACGAAGACTTCCAGCGACAAATCGAAAGATAGATCGATTAACATTTTCTTAAATTCCAATTAATACGATTTTTTCTTTAGTCTCATTTTGCCACTTTAACCGCACGAAATGAGAGAATGAAAAATTTGAAGGACTCCTCAAGGATGGAAAATCATGAAAATTTAATTGGATCGTACTTGAGTGGCAAAATGACATGACGATTAAATCTGGAAAATTGCAACGGCGTAATAACGATTCGGGCGATGGAAGGACGATGGCAATCGACGTTTTTTGCAAATAGCAATTGCTAGGGCATGTCTGGTGGACTGTGCAATAATTTTATTGCAATTGCATTAACTCAGTTGTGAAATAATCTCGTTGCATTGAGAAGGAGGCATCAGCACGTGGTTTCGCACGTTTATTCTCAGCACGTGTTTTTATCTTCACCTACTTTTTCACTTTAACAATCGTCTCGACTGTCACGCACATTTTCAAAGCGGAGAGCAATGAATTTTGGTGGCACACATTTCAGCCCTTAGATTAATAGGGTCATTAATAATGCAACGATTAAGATCATTTTAAATACTTTTGAATTATACCCCTCCTCGTGTACCAAAAATTACTCCACCATTAATGATTAATTAGACTTGCCCTCGTTGAGTTTGAATTGATAACACCAGCGAATAACTCACAGTTTAAATTTTAAAAAATGTCCCTTTACATCTCCTAACGGTTGGCGTGACTCTCACTGGTTTACAACTCAGTACAACATAATAAGTCGCCTGTTACTTGCAAATAGTGTCAATGTATTGCAGTACACATGTGTGTCACGTACCGCAACCAAGCAGCATTGCTGTCACACTGAGAATAAGATTTACTGCACGTCACTGGTGAACACTCACCGAGCCAACAATTTGTTCGACTCCCCCGGAATAAATAACACTTTTAAAAATTCAAATATCAGCGAATTCCCGCCTTTCGCTGTCAATCTCTACCTTAACATCGGTTGATTGAAAAATTGATATTTCACTCGCGTAATTGGTGCTCTTATCGCGAGCTCTGTCTCTCTCAGTTTGTGCTATTTTTTATTTCTCTTTTACCCCCCAGTTTTCTTCACGGAGTAAAATTAAGAAAATTTAAATACTTATTACCTAAAACTGAAATTAACTCTGCTGTCGTGCGAGGGGATAAGCTTATCATATTCTTGCTTCTAATTGCACTGAGGCCAGTGTATGATTGCATGTGCGACAAATCTCGGGGGCTGGGGTAAATAGAACTACGTGGGGGTGACATTTATTGAAATTGCATAATTGCAATATAATTCTCATAATTTTTGGGATTATAAAAAAAATTGGTTGGAAAATATAATAAAATAAGAATTTCCGGTTGGAAATAATAGTTTGGAATCTTAAATTACGCGGATAATGAGAAAATGGTGGTTATCAGTGTCAGACAATGTGTGTTATCTCGACAGGCGTCGTCTGCACGAAACCTACCCCTGGGGAAATTCGAGGTGCACGACCTGAGAATGCGTTTCGCCAAAGGTCAAGGGTTGATCACCCTTTCCTCACCTGCGATCAAGTGACCACTAACGACCACCAACCCCCATCATCCCTTATCATCCCTTATCATCCCTCATCGTCCCTCATCATCCCTCATCATCCCTCATGATCCCTCATGATCCCTCACCATCCCTCATGATCCCTCATCATCCCTCATCCCATGATATCCTCCTTTCCTCAATTTACTTTCCCATGTGCAATACCATTTTCTTACATGTGCATATCGCGTGGCCTTGGCCTTGACGCATACCTTCACGCGCGACATCGAGTTTCGCGATTTACACCGACCGACGAAAGATGTAAATTAAATGCCCTCAGGATGGTAGAAGAGGGGGTTGAGACTATTGAGACTATGTTCGACCGTGAATGGACTCGTCCCCTCTGTTTACCTACTCTACACCAATGGGACTTGCCCATTAAATTGAACAATCGTAAACTCAAATCCCCATTTTTATTTATCTCATTCCATCTTCTATTTATTTTACATATCATAAATATTCATATCACATTATATCACACACCCTGAATTTCATTTACATTTCAATATAACAATAGATGATCAATTATTTCTGTTTTACTGTCATATTTTCAAGTCATCAATTATTGCAACTCGCCCATATCCTAGATTATCCCCGCAATCGTGACCCAAATTACTCCCCACCTTCTCGCGGTCTGAGGTAATACTCGGGTATGGGTGGGGTTTTTTTTTTCCATATGCAAAAGTGGTAGTTATTTCGCCCCAATGGCCTCGTGTCCACCCACCATTATGCGCCTTGATGCACGCACTTATAACCGAGAAGAATTATCATAAGTGCAGTCAATCTCTTTTGTACCTCAACGCCCTCACCTTAATTTGTAATTTCATCATAAAAATACATTGATTATTGCCCATTTATTATTATACCCATTATATTACTCCATTACTCCAATCCTCACTCGCCCACAAGTCTTGATCATAATATAACCAATTAATTATTCAAGCAATCATCATTTGAACAGAAATCATCACTTGTGATCTTATTACTGAATTAATTATTTTATACTTATTACTGAATAATCGAAAAAATTAATTTTCTTTTGGTGTAGAATTTTTTGAACAAATCTAGAAATTTTTTTTTTTATATTCGACTATTCAGTCTGTGGGTGAAGCAGTAAAAAAATGTCGTTATAAAAAATAATAAGAAAATCGAAGGCATTGAAATGAAATTTGAGGGGAGGTGGGACCGGAAGTGAGTTCGACCAGTTGTATGAGAGGGATTGGTGGGGTTGTGACCTTCACCCTGTGTTAATTCATACCAGCATTATCATACACTCGGTACGTTTAGGTAAACGTTTGTACCACTCGTAAAATACACTCCTTCGCTCATTTATTCCTTTCTTGGCTTCGGTATAAGGCCCAACGATCGTCCATTCCTTCTCAGTCCAATGCCTTAGCTGTCTTTACACACGTGCAAATACCAGAGTCATGAAATTTTAACGTTAGAACACAACGGGAAAAACAATAGATGGAAAATTACTGCGTTCGCACCTAACGCCTGGAAAAATGACTAATTTGATTCCAATAAAGATCTTTATTTAATATTTCTACCTATTTTCATACATTTTTTCGTAAATCCATAAACTTTATTATTTATTCCGAGAAAATGACGCAAATTGTATTAAATAAATTATTTCTGTCGATTTGTAAAGAATTTTTTTTGGAGAAAATTGAGACTAGAATTTTTTCTAATGCACCCTTCCGATATCAACAGTTTTTTATCAATTTTATCGCCCGCTCGCTCGATTTCTCATGGTCATTCGATCCCCGAGGTAGAAACGAGAAAAAAAAATACCGAAACCGGAGACCAGCAATAAAATTCCGGGCATTCTCCTGATAGCCTTCATAATACCGTGCGTGTGATCAAGATTTTTCGTGATGTACTCTGACCACGGGGTTAAATGCCCTGCTGGTCTCACGCATAATGATAATGATAATTTACCTCCCCCCAGGTTACAATGTAACATTACGATCACCTGGAATTGATCCCTCGTGTTGAACTTTTGTTAAGCATTTCTTCAACTTCCGGTTCCTTGTGGGTTCGATGGGAGCGATAAACTTCGCGTATCAATCCACATTTTTCTCAAAAATGTTATCACAAATTTATTGCACTGAAATTTATCGGTAATTGAATATTCAGATAAGATATCGAGTGAAATTTCATGAAATTAGTGCATAGGACAATGGAATTTCCCTTGAGCGTTAATTTTCGGTCCGTCACCCTCTCAATTTGGCCTCCTCCCCCATTTGGCCTCTTCGACAGTATTTTTCCCCCTTTCACCCCTAGGTTGGCCTTGGCGTGGTCTGCAGCGGTGGTTGAAGGGAAAGGGGTTTGGGGCAGTTTGGGCTGATGGCGGCTCAGGGGGTGGGGGAGAAAGGGGGGTTGGGGCTGACTTGATCCTGAAGGTAGGGCACGTTCTCCAGCCCCATCAGTGCTCGATTGGCCATCAAACAGTGCACACCTCGACACAGTCCTATAAAAATCAACCTCGTGACCAGAACGTACGTCTTGAGTCACACAGCACTAGCGTGCATCACGGTCAGGAAGAGAAACAATGCTTCCATTCGGAAGCAAAAAAGAAAAAAAATTGTTGGCCAACGAAAATTTGCGGGTGTTTCGTTAATTAATTTCTCAATTTCAACCATTAATCTGCGTTTACACGTGCTGGAGCAGAACGGAGGATTAATTGTGGAAAAAAGTGAGGGGGTGAAGACGTAAAAGGGGACTGACAATTTCTAGGTCGCCCCCGGGTAGCCAAACATTAATTTCCCTCTGGCTGACGTCAGACCTGTCACCTGCCTGCAAAACGTCGCAGGGCACTGTCTTGCGGAGGGTTCCAGGTGCTTTGAGAACAATTCTGAGATAAATTCAGTTATTCCAGTGAGTCTGGAGGAGATCTGATGATTGTTCTAAACAATTACAATTTTTTGGTTGGAATTTCTTCAAAATCTAATTTTTAATGAGTCATTCATTCATCCATTCATTTTGGGAAATTTTTCGCTGAAGACTCGCTATTTTTCTCGGTGCGTTGAGAATTTTTCATTTGAAAATTTACTTCTTTGAAGATCGAATTGATTGATATTGAATGGAGACATGTGATTGGAGTGCGACGGATCATAGATGCAGATAATAAGTGTGTGTTGAGGGGTGGGGGGTGCGTTTTTTGTAAACGCTTTTGTGGTTCACGCGTTCATCATTGAGTCGCCAAATTACACTTATCGTTCGGACTTTGGCCCCGAACCGGGCACACCAGAGTCCACGGAAGACGAGTCTGAGGATTATCAACAGTCAAGTATCCGGAGGCTCAGTCAACCTTTTGTCGTGTTGATGAGCGACTCCTTCGAGGTCATCTCGCTGCCGGCCGATATGCTCCAGGTTATTTATCCAAAAAAATTCAGCCCCATTCATTCCCCCCGAGAAACAAAAAATCAATTTTCATATTCAGGGGTCTAGACCCCTACGAATAAATTATATTCTCATAAATATCTACAGATACATTGAATTGACCCAATTTCATTATTCAAATGATTTTTTTGTCAAAATGCAATTGAATAAATAAATAAAGCAATAATCTATACTTATAATTCAAAATGGATTTAATCTATTGCATTTTCAATTTAATATTGAGGATGGATTTTTTTGGTTGCAGCCGGCGAGCTACGGTAAGAAGAGTAATACCTGGTACACAACCCCAGGAGGTGGTGGTGGAGCTGGAAGCAGAGGTGGAGGAGGTGGAGGAGGTGGAGGAGGTGGTGGGTGGCAGAGCAGACCATCAGCGGTGGCGAGTCTCAGCAGGAAGGCTTCAATCACTGACGAGGCACCACCACCAGGTGGTGGTAAACCCTCCTCTGGTCGGGTCATCAGGATCGTCAACAACCTAGATCACACTGTCCAAGTACGTCACCCCCCATTAATTCATCACAATTGATCAATTTTATCGATCTATCACGAGCATTTTCCTCATTATTCTCGCAGTGTCGTGTACTCCTCAATCTGCGCACATCGCAGCCCTTTGAGGAAGTACTTGAAGACCTGGGGCAGGTGTTGAAGATGAACGGGGCCAAGAGAATGTTTACAGTATCGGGGCAAGAGGTCAGTTGCTCCGTTTTATTCAGAAGACATATTACAGAAATTACAATTATTCGTTGAATAAAAAGGTCTTCCCACGACGCAGTGAAACAAGTCGACGCGTGGTCAGACCACAAATCCCATCATTAAATCCTACTCATAATTTTCAAACATTCAACCATTCTCAATAATTTTTAATAAATGTTTTTTAATGATTTCTAATAAATTTTATAATATCGTTAAAAACCGGTTGGAAAAGAATTGTTTGAAAAGGCTCAGAGTCGGAGACCTGTCATATATAAAATCAGTATGAATAATGTTTTTCATACATATGTATGTGGCCCTGGGGTATGAATTTTACTATGAAAGAGAGAGAAAAATATGGGCTGGGGTAGATTGTTAGCAGAAGGAGAACCGGGGCGTGACAAACGGGGTCGCGAGTACAGGATGGAATAAGGTCGTGGCCTGGCAAAAGGCGTATGAACTGCTCTTAATCCCTCGCAAAAACTGCCTAGATTCACCATCTATTATAAATTACACCATTTAATATCGCACAAGTCCACCCAGCGGGAATAATAATCCGTGAGACTGTAATTGCGGGTAAATTGTGACATGCGGTATAATCGCCGCTCGATATGATAAAGCGAAAGGTTCTGATTGCCCTAATCGCGATTTATCATGACGAATTACTGAACGATATGCAGAATTTATCGTGAAAAAAAAAATGCGCAAAAAAATGCTTGTAATGGCGAAGGGTCCCGGTGATTTTTTAATCATTTTCTTTTCCTTTTCTCGTCTCGCCCATTGGGTTTAATTCTCATTTGGTCCTCGAACACGCGAATTTGGCATCAAATGCCGTTTCTGCATCCTGGGGGCCCCGAAGACACAGGAAGAGGAAAAAGTGATTACTCCCACGTGTCGCCCACACAGTTGGATCTTTGATGATCTTTTTTTCATGAAGGGAGGAGGGGAGGGGAAGGAGGCCACTGGAAAAAGGTCAGAGATTCATCCACCTTTTAGGTCACGACCGAATATGAATTACAAATTGGCCAATTTCCACTTGCACGAGCATTGGAAAGTACTCACTTGTTTTTCATGGCAGCTGGGGCTGCAGCTCATGAATATATCTCTTTTTAAAATCCCGGTAATTACGGGTATCGATGATTAATTGATAAGTTAATCGATATTTTGTTAGCAGATAATAATTGTTTGAATCAAATAAAAATTAGTTCATCTAATGGTTCCTGTAAATTCAAACAGAATAGGGGTAGATAATTGTAATGATTATTATAATAAAAATTTATGGATAACATTAGAATTTTTATTAGTACTGTTTTAATGTTTATTTATTGTTCTTTATTATTCTGCGCGGTTGATAGGTGCGAAGTTTCTCGCAATTGAGAAATGACTTTGCCGATGTGGATACGTTTTATTTGGGTACTGGATCATCCATGGGGATTGGGGGTAGTTCGATGACTGCCTCGTCACCAGCAAGGAGATCTAGGTCTAGGGGACCATCGACTGTTTCATTGACTGGACCTGTGGAGGACATTGGAAGACAGAGAAGGGCACGCAGCAAGAGCAGACCAAGAGCTCTCTATGCACCGGACTCCGAGGTCGTACGAGTTAATGGTACAATGTTCAATTAATTATTATGTTAATTCACTTGAAACTCAATTTCAATGTGGGAAAAAAAATTCATTTTGAAGATTACAGTGTAGTCGAAGTACTACGCGAAGAGCCTGCCAAAGTGACAATTCGTGGCCTCAGACGCTCGTTCTATCCTCCGTCACACCTTCCCCTGGTTGACAATTCACCGCCTGAAAAGAAACTTCAACTCGAATGGGTCTACGGATACCGTGGGACTGACACAAGACGAAACCTCTGGGTTCTTCCCAGTGGAGAATTGCTGTATTACGTAGCTGCAGTTGCTGTTCTCTTCGATCGAGAGGAGAACTCGCAGCGTCACTACGTCGGCCATACGGAGGACATCACCTGCATGGAGGTTCACCCCAGCAGGGAATTAGTGGCATCCGGACAGAAAGCTGGGAGACACAGAAAAGCTCAACCACACGTTCGCATTTGGTCGACAGAAACTCTCTTGACACTCTACGTTTTTGGAATGACAGAGTTTCAGATGGGCGTGTCAGCTCTAGCTTTTTCACAACTAGTGAGTCATTCAGATTAAAATCTAGTCTTCCATCTCATGTATTTTAATAAAATACATATATACAATACAATACATTTTAATGAAAAACAAAACATTTTCATTTCTATCTTGTCACACAGAATGGAGGTAGTTATGTCCTCGTAGTAGATGCAGGAAGGGAAGCCATTCTGTCAGTTTGGCAGTGGCAGTGGGGCCATTTACTTGGCAAAGTGGCGGTGAGTAATTAATTATTACTCTGGTAATTATCCATTGATCGCCTATTTACTGGAAGATAATTGTCATTGATGATCCCAGACACTTCAAGAAGACTTGACCGGTGCAGCATTCCACCCTCTCGACGATAATCTCCTCATAACTCATGGTCGTGGCCACTTGACATTTTGGAATCGTCGCAAGGATGGGTTTTTCGAGCGGACCGATATAATTAAACCAGTGCGCAAAATCATTTACAATTAACTTACCATTAATATAATGTTTATTGATGAATTTACTTGTTTTTATCAAAAACTATTTATAATTTATTATAGCCATCGAGGACGCACGTAACGAGTATTCAATTCGAGCAAGACGGTGACGTCGTGACTGCGGATTCCGACGGATTCATCACAGTTTATTCAGTCGACGCAGATGGTGCATATTTCGTTCGCATGGAGTTCGAGGCTCATAATAAAGGCATCAGTTCTTTGGTGATGCTTTCAGAAGGGACATTACTCTCGGGTGGAGAGAAGGACAGGAAAATAGCTGCTTGGGACTCACTGCAAAACTACAAGAGAATTACTGATACTAAGGTTTGAAAAATACTTGGATCTTCTTGAAACTATCATCCTAAACCCATTAGTCATTTTCGAATCTGGGTGAAGGATCGATGGATCGATGCCGCGATAAAATCATCGATGCGCCAAAAACAATGTATACCATTTAAACGAGAATCGATCCTATTTCCCCCAGTTACCAGAAGCAGCTGGTGGTGTGCGCAGTATTTATCCCCAAAGGCCGGGTAGAAATGATGGGAACATCTACGTCGGGACAACTCGAAATAACATCCTCGAGGGCTCATTGCAACGTAGATTTAATCAAGTTGTGTTTGGCCATGGCAGACAGTTATGGGGACTAGCTGTACATCCGGACGACGAGGTATTTGCCACTGCAGGACACGATAAAAATATTGCCCTCTGGAGGCGGCACAAATTGTTGTGGACGACGCAGGTTTGTGAATTTGTGTCTCTCGTTTTTTATTCGGGATCGAATTGAGGCCGAGGTATTTCCCCCGGATAATTAATCCAAGGTGTCTCAATTCAACATTAAGGTGGGCTTCGAGTGCATTTGCATCGCCTTTCATCCCTTTGGGGTGGCTCTGGCTGCAGGCTCGTCGGAAGGGCATCTTCTTGTTCTTGCAGCTGATACTGGAGCCGCGGTGGCCACCCTCAGGGTTTGTGGATCACCCTTGTCTTGTATTGGATATAATCCCAGTGAGTTCTGATGGTCCAAGAATTTTTAATTATAAAACTGTTAACACTGATTATATTGAGATTTTATCGTTACGGTTGCCGTCTCTTTTTTCAGCTGGAGAAATCATAGCTATGGGATCGCAGAATGGAAGTATTTATCTGTTTCGAGTGTCGAGGGATGGATTTTCCTACAAGAAGAGCAATAAAATCCGAGGTACTCAGCCATTGGTGCAACTCGACTGGAGCTCAGACAGCAGATTCCTCCAGACAGTCACTCAAGATTACGATCTTGTATTTTGTAAGTGTCGAGTGAATGAGTGATATTTCATTACCTTCAGCGCTTGCTTCATTATTTTTCAGGGGATGTAAAGGCCCTCCAGTCAGAAAAGAGTCCGATAGTGATGAAGGACGTTAAATGGCACACCCATAACTGCACCGTGGGGTATACCGTTTCGGGTAAGTTCATAAATCAAACATACAATTTATCAACAGTCGTGAGCTAATAGAACATTTATTAGAAACTCAAAATCCGGATGCTTGAATGAGAATTTTTCGAGGCGAAAGGCTCATTAATGACTCATTATTTATTTGAGGTCTTTTAGACTCATTTAAGGAGGAATAGACTCATTTAAATGATGTGTTTATTTAGGTATGTGGAATAATCGTTATTATCCATTGACAACGGTGCTGACAACAGCGAGTCGTTCAGCAGCTCATGATATGCTCATAAGTGGTGATGCAGAGGGATATCTGCGACTTTTCAGATATCCTTGTACCAGTGCTAAAGCTGAATACGTTGAGGAAAAAGTTTACAGCTCGCTGGTTGCATGCGCACGTTTTCTCTACAACGATCAAAACGTTGTGACGGTTGGCGGTACCGATGCCGCACTCATGCTGTGGGAATTGGTTGATGAATAATTAATTGAATGAGTAAAAACCAGTGGACATTGAACATCGAATCGAACAGGTAAAAAATCCGGCGTCGACCGTTCATAGAGCAACTGCCGTTTTATCTTATTCATTTGTTGGATAATATTTTTCGGCGTTTATTCTGTTGATTAGTTCATGTTATCACTCGTGATTCACAATTCTGCCGTACAAATGGATTCACCTGAATTCAATCTCCTACAATGGAATGTAACAATTTTTTTATTGACTTAATGGGAATTAAGAAATTTACTGCTCGTGGAGAAAATTTTGTCGAAACACTTAGAATTTAATGGGTTCGTTAGGATTTTAAAATGAGGGGCATGAGATACATGATTTTTTTTTTCGTTGATGCAGCAGAATTTCTGATATTTGAATCTGTAATTATTTTACAAATTCAAATCGCTGCATCAACAGAAAAAAAAAGAAAAAACAGATGTTCAACGACGCACATTGCGATATTAATCATGAACGATAACAATCATGCTACGCAAAGTTTAACGTCAATAGTTTAATATACATAATATTATAGCGTAGATATTGAACACAGATAGCGTGGAATATCCAAAGTTAACGAGTAAAAAATAGGAGCGCGGGCGCTCCGTTTCTAGTCAACTGATAATTGATCGAAATTAGCTTCGAGAGAAGAAAATGAAACAACAAAAATCAGCACCTCATTAATCTTCAGCATGTGCACAACTCAGGGGCACTGTCGCCAATAAAATGCCCCGATCTCATATCAAGTAGTTAAATTCGCATTTCAATCGATCAATCGCATCTTCTATTGGTGATAATCAAGGGAAGATGATTCTCAGCACATTTTAAAGCGAGTGTTCCATTATCCCTCTTCCCTGTGATACTCCCACAATTTTCGAGACATCGGTCAAGATTCTCGGAACTTTGGGATATCAATGACATTAATTAGAGTTTGACAGCACCCTGGTACCGTCGAAAGCAAATGCGGTCGCTGGACGACATGCGAAATATGTTATTTAATATAAATATTTCACTACTTTGTTCGCATACAGATATTTACGTACAACTTCGTGTATTGAAAATACAAAAGTATATTTATAGGTGAGTAGAATTGGAAACGATGAGTGGGCATTTTTGATTTTGAAACGATGGAATTTTTGTCCGGCAATTCTCTGGAGCAAGTATGTAATTACCCTGGCGCTCTAATTAATAAAGGAAATCTGGAAAATAGTAATTACATTTCTAGATGTGTAAGTTATTTGAAACCCAACTTGAATATTTCTTTGAAGTTTTTAAAGGAGATTTTTCCGGTTTTTACTCACATTTCGAGGCATGACATAACATAAAGGAATCTAAAAAACTGGGTAATAAATTAGGTTTTCACAGTTGTTTAGTTTTCAGCACAGAGTCTTGTTTTTTCGTTCAATGTTCTATTATATCCACAAAGCTAAAAAGAATATTTGTTGGAGTATTTTGGAGGAGTATTTAACACGTGGGCAAATAAAACTCGATGTTCCATCAACAGAATTTCTTAGACCAGTCGAAGAAATAAAAGGGTATGATGTATGGTGAATTGATTCAACTGGAAATATTGTCGATAGCAAATACATAGAATTGTTTTATTGTCTCCAAACAGTTGGTCACAAATACAACCCATCATATTAAAATTTAGAACAGTTCTTCAGGAGCAGCTCTCGTGGAAATTTCGAAACACGAAAATGTTTCAAGTCAAGCTGATTCTCACTCTTTTTTCAATAACGTCAATCACCGGATTTGAGCACACTTTTTGCGATTCCGGAGATGATTTCGAGATTTGTGGATATTCTGATACAATAACAGCAATTACACCATTAACGAATGGGTCTAATCTGGTGCTGGAAGTAAATCGTTTCGTCAACATCGATGAAATGGCCTTTCATACGGTGAAAGTAGTTGATAGGCTCGAGCTGTCTCATCCTAAGCCGGACCTGTGCACTCCAAAATTCGTGAACATATCAGCATTGGAAAAAATGAAGGTACGTGGCAGCGTAACATTGCAGTGTATCCAGATTCCACCAAATCTAGACGTCTTCAGCACCTTTGCAAAGGTTGAAGAATTATCGGTAGAGAACGTTAAATTCAATGGTTACTCGAAGCTATTTTACAGAAATTTCGGAAACCTGAAAATATTTACATTATCGCATCATGACGATGCGATTATATTACCGAAGATTTTCGATGGAGTCCACAGATCACTCAACGAACTTAGGATTTACTACAAAATACGCGACATCGAGCCAAGAGCATTTGAAAGATTTGAGTATTTGCAGTGTCTGATAATAGCGATGACTGAACTGACTCGTCTGAAAGCTGACATGTTCGAGGGCCTCAATGAATTGGAATATCTTAGTTTGGCAAGCAATAAAATTACTGCACTACGCAGTAATGATTTTATTAAACTAGTAGAATTGAAGGAACTCCAATTGAGTAATAATAGAATCAGTGAAATTGAAAATGGAACTTTCACTGGCTTGAAACTTCGTATACTGAATTTGGAGAATAATCGGTTAAAAAATCTGCCCACTGATGGCTTTCAAAATTTAGAGAGCCTGGAGACTGTGAATCTTGGATTAAACAGGATCAGAACTATTCCCCTCAATATTTTTCGGATGTGCTTCAATCTTCAGTGGCTTAATTTGGATAATAATAAAATAAAAAATATAGAACCCTTCACTTTCTGGGGTTTACACCTCAATGGGCTTGATCTAACTCACAACAAATTGAGGGTTTTGGAAAATTATACGTTCATTGGTCTCGAGGTGCGAGAATTGATGGATCTACGTTTCAATAATATCAACAAAATTCAACCTCAAGCATTCACCGGCTTCATAGCTGAGTCAAAGGTCACACTTTGCAGGAATAATATGACTGAAACCAACGGAAAAGAGTGGGGTGCCAAGAATATACATATAAACATCAGCGACAGTTGCTCATTACCTGTAAACCAAGTAAACATTACTGAAAACATTGAAGAATTAAAATAAATCCTCATGTTACATGCGATGAATTTATATAAATATTCACCAAATAAGAATAGTAAAAACAAATTGATTTAAATTCATTCTTTATTATCCTCTAATTTTCTCCACCTTTTTATACAGTACGCATTCTCTGGTATTCTTCCTACTAAATCTACTTTTATTTTTATTGTTGATTCAAAGCGGCGATTAAAGTGCTTGCGCCCAGAGTTGAATTGTGCTACTGATTTTCATAGAAAAAAAAATTGAAAGCGGAACAATGGGAAATTATCAATGCATGGACATGATAAACTGTGCAAATTCAACGGATTTTTTACCATTTCTCTCAGAAATTTCTGTGATCTGCATTTCTCATTGATTTATCCTTTCCAAACAAAAGTGAAGGAATTTCACTCAGAAAGTTTGAAATCATATCGCATATAATACTTTTTAGCTTCTTTACCATATCTCGACCACTTCGTGCTGCTCTCAATGAAATTACAAGGATCCGTTAAAAAATAAATAACAAGTATGAAACAACATATTCGCAACTTCTAAAAATACAGAAATTTACAGTTACCCTATGTACCTAGAATTTCTTTCAACTTATACTTAGGTTTTTCCTTTTATTCCTCATAAAATGATTTTCACAAAAAATCCACGACACATTCGTATTGAAACGCATTGAGGGAACAGAGAAGTCGACCTAATACTTCACTATTCACTTGAAAAAGTGGAATTATCTCGCACCAATGGCAATAAATAAATGTCACTCGTTATCACTATTATCATACATACACTATTAACATTTTATTTAATCTAACCAATTGGACGCCCTCATTGTCTCCCAATTTTTTCTGTTTTCGTGTTATTTTCATTTGTCATTTTTTTAAATATTCTTGTTATCAATTAGTTTTTCGGCATTTTGTAATCACGTAAAGCCAAAGGTCAGTCTTGGGTCGAGCAGCCCATTTAGACGTGCGATGTGCTCGGTTATCGCCGTAATAAAGAACGTCGTAGGCACAACAAAGAACTTAGTGTTTTTCCTTTCTTCTGTTTATTATTTATTTCTCTCATTTCACAATATTAAATGTTTTTATTTATTACCATTTTCCAGGCACTCTTGTAATGCATTTCGGAAGCCACGTAAGTACTTTGAAAGAAATTGTACGATTTATTTTTTACTGTGTCGCATTTTCTGTTTTTCTTCAGCTAAACAAGTTTCAAATTCAGTTGCATGGAATATATATTTTTGAACAAGTCCGAGAATTGAATGAAAACAAAACTCAGCCCGTTTTGGGAGGAACCGATTTACCGGTTTATTTTATTTTATTCCCCATTTCTCCAATAAATACGTTAATTCATTCAATCACTGAATTATTTCGAATACTGGGCATGTGCCTCTTCGTATCTCTCTTCATTCAACTTTCGTATTCATCAAAAAATTCCTTGCGACAGCCTAAACCCGCCACATCAATTGAAAAAATTCGATGTGATGACATTTGCTCTAAAATTATTCTGCCATCATTTTGTAAATATCCATGAGAACGGATTGCGCAAAATTTCACGTCTAAAATTTCCAAGAAATTTTAATTACTGCATCGCAAAATTACTTCCCATTTTTTCTACGGACATCCTATAACTATTTATCGTCTCTCGACTTAAAAAAAAAAACGTCTACTAAACTGTAATTCTGTATTGGAGTACAAAGGAATGAGTTGAATATGACATTCTCACCAATAAATAGTCATCAATACTATAATCAACTCTTTCCACCAACCCTAACCCAGAATTTCTTGAAAGCCCCATAATTCCTCAACTCATATTTCCAGAACATGCGGAAAATAAATTTCGACTAGCTGCACGTTCCCCAGTGGCTGCTGTTTCTCCTTTTAATTTCCAAAACAAAAGAAAAACTGTATGACTAAAAATAATCATCAATAACGAATCCTCATTTTCCCCTCCTCGTGCACTATAATTTTTTATGTGTTGTCAGTTGTCAATTCATGTTTACTCGTATCCATCTCACTTTCATTTCCCTCGTTTTCCCCCAGTGTATCTTGTGCAATTGTCTGCGAGGAATGACGGCTCCTATTTACTTCCTCGAGATCCTCATTTTTCGTTGATTCATTAATTTTTTTTCTGTATTCGTCCTGATCATTCAGCTTTGTTCCAACATCAGTGTAGCACATTTTTTCAGGCTCAAATGCTGGCTGACTGTCATTATTGTGACTCGGTGTATCATAACAGGGGGTTGTACTTGGTGCATAAACATTTTCGAATTGATCGTATTGACTCAGTGACTCAACACTCCGCTGACTCAATTCCGATAAATTTCCACACCTTGGAAATTCACGTGGGAATAAATCACGTTCAAATGCACGCCTCTCTATGTCTCTCCTTTCAATCTGTCTACCGATGAATCTCACTGTTGTCGTTGGTGCTGGGCTTGTTCCTGCTTTTGTGAATAACTGAATTGGACGTTGAAAACCCTTCGACGGGTGAGGGGGAATCGAGACAACTTCGCACTTTGTGAAACCAACTTCAGCTGAAAGGAGGTATTGAGTGAATTTTTGGGGGAAGAATTCAATGCTGTGATAATTTCTGTAGATTCTTTCCTGAAAGTCAACAATATTTATTATTAAATCGGCGACAATATGAATACTTTTAGAATAATTAGCTCAACACTGCTGTTCCTCTTCCTGAGAAATTCTATGTGTATTTAATGATGAAGAACTTACAGTTAATGTCTTCTTTTTCCCATAACTCGGCCAACTTTGGGACTCGAGTATTAGCACTCCACCGGGTCTCAGCTGTGCATGCATACGCTTGAACGCCTGCTTCAGCCCAGCATCGCCAAAATTTAAGTGGATCCATTTAGTTATTGACAGACAAAGAATGACGTCGAACTGTGGTTGCTCTGACGTCAATAGTCCATCATCCTCCAACACATAATTACCCTGAAAATAAACAAAAAAAAATCTCATTAATCACCCAATTAATTTTTAATTCAATAAATACTTATCCAGATATAAAAAATAAATGGTCAACAATTGAACAAATTGTTTCTTGGTTTGACTAGTCTCATTACCTGTATTACTACAATCGCACGTCACACGTGCAAACACGCTACGTTATCGGTATGAATGTAACATTGCAATAAAGTTCAATTTCACAGATCAATGAACTTGATTAAGAATCTAGTTATGTGACAGATCACTAATGTCTTACTATTGGTGACATTAATATTAATCACATGACCACATGTTGGCCATTATTCTGCTACTTAATGGTAAATATAATTGAAAAATTTCACACAAATGCAACTGCCATTTGATACCCCCCCTGACTTGGAATGACGAAATAAAAAAATGAATGAATGTAAGAATGTACCTGCACAAAAGTGACGTTGTAAGGGAATCCCTTGTGATCTCTGTTTTTGGTGAAACCAGGTACATCAATGGGCCCATAATTAATCGGCATTGACATAGGAAAGAAACTGGTGTCGCAGTCCCTGTGCTCATTGGCCTCCTCATTGCTCGCAGGTGACCTCACGCAATTAACATAATGTTTAATGTTCCTCCTCGCTATTCCAATCAGCTTGCGATCAATGTCAATGCCCGTAACACTGTGCGCTGCAAAGTCTCTGGCAACGGATAATGTAATGTGTCCAATATTACATCCAATATCGAGTACATCCCTTCCAAAGAACATCTCCTTCCTCTGTGCAAAGACATTCAATCTCGGATCAACGTCGTGATGTGGATTCCTGTAGCCGTAATACCTGTCGTAATTGCCATACTGATATCTCGCGTCCTTCTCCCTGAAATTGGGCAATTGAAGTGGCTGTTTCTTCTTCTTATCCTGATTTGGTCTGTGAGGAAGTCTCGGTTTCCAAGCACCAGGTTGTGGAATCACAGGACTCACTATTTTATCTTTAACGTCTACCTTTCGCAGTCGTTTATCCTTGGCCTCGTCGAGACCCTTGAGTCGTAATTTATTCTTGTCCTTAACTGGACTTTCGACTTTCGGTTCTTTTGGAGGTGGTGGAGCTGGTGTGGGACTCGATGGCTCAACACTTGGTACCTCGATCTCGGGATGATTTGTCTTGTCATCTGGCAGGACAACTGCAGGTGCCACTAGGGCTACTGGCTCTTCAACTTTTGACTCGGTTAAACTCTCATTTGTATCCTCTTTACCGGAGCCTGATGATGCCCTTTTTCGCTTTCGGTTTCGCCTCTTTGAACCTTTTTTCGTTGGCGATATCAACTGCTTCTCGTATTCCTCGTTATCGTTGTCATTGCAGTTTGTCAAGTTCAGAGGGTCACAGATGTTCGGGGGTATAATAACTTCAATTGCCTCCTTTCGGTGCTTTGGCGTTGGCAAGGGACTTGACTTGGGTGTTACAGCATTCATTGCTCGATTTATCTCCTCGTCTTGCATACTGTTTAGGTTGAGGGGATCACATATGTTACCACCGAGCAAGAACTTAGTGGGGGGTATGATAGCACCTTCTTTCTTTCGTCTCTTGTAAGGAGGAAAGAATTTACCATTGCCGGTGAAACTTTGCAGACGTTTACGACCGAATTTGAAATGACGAAGGTCCTCATGCTTATGCTTCTTGTGGGATTGTGTGAAGAGCTTTCGTGATTTTTCATTTTCTTTTTTGTTAACCTGACCCACTTTCGTGGGACGATCTACTTGAGCTGATGACATTTTTTCTTTTTTTGTTTTTTTTTGGGAGTTTGATTTGGGCCTTGCGGGTTGAAGGGGGAATTTACTTAGTCGCTTTTTTCGTGATTAATTGGAAGAGTTTTGCTTGTTTGGGGAACATCGAGGGAACTAGTTCTCAGGGGAGGGATAGAAGGCAAATTAATACTTTAGTAATTCAAAATTGAAAAGGGTAGAATTATAAAAATAATACAATGACATACAACATGCGAAATTCATACGAGGAAAAATTGTCAATTCTTCGAAAAGTCTAATTAAATAAATATCGCAACTCTAAATTTTTCAAATTTCCATTACTTCGTATCTCAAAGAACGAATAACCCTGTACAAACGTTGTGCACACGTTATAACCCAACAAAACTGACTAAACTCGAAACAATCTCCCAAAGACAGACAGAATAACGATTCAAAAAATTCCCACAAGTATTTCCAGCGTAAATCATAAACTAATTCCAAGTCACCATAAAAGATGTTGATAACGGCCCCTCAACCTCTTGGCGGTAGTGAAAAAATACACAGGTGAAAGGTGACATTACACGGCAATAAATAAATTTCAAAAAGCGTCCACGAAAAAAAAAATGAATAATTAGAAAAAAAAACGCCAAACCAATTAATTGAATTGCCATTGACAATTTCACGAGTTCATAATCATTTCAATGGGCTTTTACAAAATTACTATGAGAAAACCGCTGAAGGGGTTCGCAACACGTAAAATTATCGTTCCCGCGTTTGCGCATGCGCACATTATAGTTTATACACTCTGAAAGCGGATGGTCTTCAATGCCCAACGTTTCAATTCCGTATTTGCCAATTTTATTGTCTAATTTTGGGGTAAAACTTACGCTCGGTGATCGGTGAATAGCTTTCACTTGCCAACAGACACTTTTTACGAAATCATTAAGCACAATAATACGCAATATCGGTAGAATGTATGACGCACCCACTTGGATACACTGGTTGTGCATCCATCAACGATGGCGAATAGCTGCTTCGGTTACTCCGTTGCCATTGCCTCTTCCACCACCATTTTCCTTCTCCGTATTTCATCGGCTAACATCGACAATCTCCGGTTAACCCGCTCCACTAAATCAAACTGCACCCCCAAAAATTGTTTCAATCCACTAATTACCTTTACTCAATAAAAACATCCATCATTTTTTTTCACTCAAATTTTCACAAATTTTTTTTCTACAGCCATTCTCCATTTTTTTAAATGTCTCCATTGCGTGAATATGGGAAAATCATTTTTCCAATTCCTATTCTGTTTCTCTATTGTATGGATTCTTAGTATTTGGTCAGCAATTATGTCTATGATAATTATTGTTTTCGGTTTGGGATGTTTGGAATAATTTGTTTTATTTCATTTTTCCAGTCATTTGTCTTTTGTTTTTTTTTTTTTGGTTTTCAGGTTGGAGGTATGATCGCAGGATCAATAGTGTGAATTTTGCAGTAAACGTGATTAAGTGGGTAGAGGTCGTGGATTTTCCATTGTAAAGGATAATAAAATCTTCGCTGAATATTCAGAAGTTCATAAAAAGTATCGCGTGGAGTGAATTAATGATAATCTTAAAAGTCCTTTGAATTCGTAATGTCGCGTAACTCTGGGTTTTTGGAGGTGTCAGCGAGTCCCTTCGAGATCTACGAGAGCAATGACTTGGACTGGGAAACCCCAAAGAGTTCTCATCATCAGGTCAAAAGGTCTTGCAGTAGAATGGAAAAACGTGATGTAAAGGTACACAGAATTTGCCCATTGAAAATCGCCCTGGCATTAAAAGACTCGATAAAGGAAAAATAAATAACTATTTCCTGCAGATAAAATCGTGGTCCCAATTGTTCTTGACTAATTACTCAAATCAATTGAGTGGCCAGTCAATCAAGACCCCCATGACTGGAAAATTAGGATCTAATGAGCCCCTTGCGCCAATGAAGCATCGAAGATCCATCAATAAATCAGAGTTGAAGCCAAAAAAATTAATTTTCAAGGATCTCGAGGACTACGAGTCAGGGATCGTCGGTTTATTCTCCCCTTTGACCTTAAAAATCAACAAGAAAATAATGGTGAGAAGTGATGATCAAAGTACAAGTGAAACACTAACCAAAGAGAGAAAACAAAAGTCAAAGGAAAGTGGAAGGTCGAAAGTAAACATTCAGCCTCCTAGTAACGACAAGGAAAACCGCTGTGAGAATCAGAGAAATAAAAACAAAGATATGCGTAAACAACTGAAAGAACACCTCAAAACAAATCCCAATGATAAAAGTAGCTTCAAACATTTGAGAATATAATACTCTTCGACACAATCGCCAGCTGATTTCAAGCCCGATAAATAAATACGGTTTCAATTTTTTCATCTTTTAATGTATAAAAATATTGTTACAAAACAGTTATTCATAACCCCAAAGTTGAACTGTAACGTCTTATTGTTATGGCAACCACTGAGTGATTTTTCCATTGAAATTAAAAATATTTTCCACAATTTAACGGTCGTATATTCATGAGTGAGTTATAAAATGGTGAGGGGTTGAGGGATAACCTAGTTACGAGTTTTTTTGTTACTCTCAGCTGAGCATGTTTGCACACGTTTTATGTGAACCAGAAATAGACTGAAGGGGAATGGAGAAATTACAGATTGCTGCACCCACCGGTCATGTAAGTCTCACATTTATCTGCTTCTACTCTTTTCAACGATCCCTCACTTACCCTGAAGTAGCAAAAATTAATAGCGAACCTATCTTATCCTTTTCCGTCGGCACGACTATTTTCTCCAAATTAATTGCACGCGAAAATGAAATTTACTTGATCAAAATTGAGGTATTTTTGAAACGAGGAATTTTCTTCATTCGCACGATCTGTTTTATAAATATATTTTCTGCAGAAAACAATTTTTTTTTCACGCAATTGAAACCGGGGAATTTAGGAGAAAGGTTACACATCAATATAAATCGATTGATTTTTTCCGCCAGTTATTTTCTATTGAATTTAAATCGAAGAAATGAGTCATGCGGTCATGCATTCATGACAAATCAAGCCTTAGGAAAATTCCAATACCCAATTTTAAAAATTCTTTTACGATTGTCTGTCCTAATCCCTCCGTGAAATGACAGGGTATGATTATTTAGAATAGAATATTTACGCAGAGATATGACAGTAATGTACGCAATAGCGATAATTTCACGTCTTGAGACTGTACGTATCGGCGGCAAAATATTAGCTCTTCTAGGTCTTCCCTGGAAATCAGCAAACAGCTGAAGACCCGTCCAGAAATGTCCACAAGGTCCGGTCCCAGGGTCAAACGGAAAGGATTTTACCTGGGCCAGGTATACTAATGGATGAGGGCTCAGGGTTTCTCTTCTGGACGGTTAGACGTCTGCAGAGAAATATTTATGCCCACCAAATTTGGTTACGACAATTAATATTTCTGTACGAAATCTCCATTTTATTTATTTCCACGAAAAAATTTGTTATTGAATGAATATAGGAATTTCTTTTCGAATATTATTGTTCATTCATTTTCATTCGATTGAGGAAACATTCATTCGAGCGTAATGAATGGTCGGTTGGTCATTAGAGAAAGTGGAACATTACTTGTTAATTAGTTGTAACGACATATTTTTGTTTGTTATTCATCATGAGGAATTTTCAATGATGTGGCTAAAAGATAATTTAATTTTTCCACAATTAGATTAAGATTTTTTCAAGCCGTCGAGATTTCGATGAGTTTCGAATTTCGTTCACATCCCCTTTTCAAAAAAAATTCTTATCGAGCTTCTATGAAGATAATTACATAATCATCTTTGTGTAAAATTATCTTTACCAAGAAAAATTGAGGAAAATTCCCATCAATATGGAAAATGGATGTACCAGCAAAGTATTATAAATTCCTCGATTAAAACTCGCGGATCTACCGTTAATCTGAAATCGAAAATTGATCGATCGATGGAGCAACGAGCAATCTTCTCGCACAACGACGATAATAATTATTGCAATGTCTGTTGCCTTGGAAACCAGTTCAAGTTGCCAAGGTTCGACTAATCGACCGTGGCGGTACTCCCATCGAGTTCTTATAAATTTTTTCCCAGTGCCTTTTCAACATTTTTTCCTATTTCCTCTTTTAATTTTCATTTTAATTTTAATAATAACTTACGCCAGCGATAAGAATCTCAAGCGTCAGCTATTCTTATCGTTTCATTTATAATTATTCCAGAGTTGGCGGGAAAAATTTGCTGATTTCGATGGGAGGAAGAGGATAATGTACCAATCGATGAACTTTGAACTTATACGATAGCCAATTTATTTAGGTCAAGGAATCCCCCCCCCCATTAAAAAAATTTTTTCTTTCGTCGTTTATTACGTAAACTATTGAAAGATCGGAATCTGGGAAATGTGGAAATTTTTCGAGGATTTATGTGAAAATTAGGCCTCTAGGCTATTTTTTAAATTTTCATATTTTTTAACTTCAATTCTCTAATTATCGTGGAACTTTGGATCGTCGAGGTAAACCATTGCTTGACATTTAACGCTTCGTAATCGTTATGTTAATCCTCTGAAACCGGGAGTTCGTCGGGGTCATCGGGCACTGTGACGTCAGCGGATACTGTGACCCCTGACGACACAAAATATCCCCCACTCCTTGCAAAATCCAGTTAATTCCAAATCAATTATTGATGAATAATTAATAACGAATAATTTAATATCGGGAATATTGTTCCCGCAGATGCTCTCTAGAAAATTAAACGGTTCAATTGAGAATTATAAAGAAGTCTTTATAAAAGCAAAACTGCCCTGATATACCTCAAAAATAAAATTTTATTCTGAGCCGAACGGAAATGCGAATGTCATTGAATAAATATCCACTTAATTGAAATTCAACGAGTCCCGAGTGAATGGAAATTCTCGAAAAAATAATCGACAGTTTCCAAGAAAAGATCGGGAATTTTATACAAAATTCAAACCATCATTCGACACTGGTTTTATATTATTTTGTCTTCGAGTATTCCTTAGTCTCCTCATTTCTCAAAATAATACAGACCACCGATAACCCGACGAGATACTTATTGGTACCACTGGCTGTGTCAACTATATTATAAGTTAAAATGTGTGTAAGAGACCCTGGAAATGTTATCACCCCCTCGTAACAGTTGAAACGACCGGTATTTGTTGCTAACCGGGAGAGGCCCCATCCTCAGAAGGTTATCTTACGGTTCTTGCCCTTCGCCTGACATCTTGTATTTCGCAATTGCCTTCTCATGCCGATTTTTACATCCCAATATGTCTCTCATTTTATGTAATACACTTTTTTCCAACCGGGAGAACTCAATTCCCGTACTTGCCGATTAAACGAATCCGCTTATCAGTCACGGTATTACGACAGCCGCCTCGATTTTTAGTTATCACAGGTGTTACCTTTTTTTATTTATTCAGTTGATAATAATGAGCGGAATACTTTCAGGGAGCTCGATTTACTCCATGAAAAATTCTCTATGAAAAACTCTTTTACAGTTTATGACTCGAGCATATTGATAGCTCTTAAGGTCAGTGCACTGCAGTGGCACAAGGAAAAAAAAATTCTCAATGTTAGAACAGATGTTTTTAGAATCAAGAAAAATATTCATTTGATTCTCCAAGAGGATCCAATCTAAATTTCAGAATAAAAGAATCACCTTAATAAAATTTCAACCCAAGTCAATTAATTATTCAACTTATTCACTTTAGTAAATAAATTATTATAAAATATCATGGGTTATCTTCAAAATTGACAAATCTCAAAAAATCGGCGAACGATTGCGGATTAATTACAATCCCGGAGACATTTCTTGGGAGGGGAAAGTTTATCGAGAAAATGAATAATAAATTTGCAAAGGTGACGCATATCGTCAATGCCATGGACCTGCGCATTAGTACGAATGATAAAGGGACCCAGAGAACATGGGAGTGGCAGACATCCTAGCCTCGAACGGGCTTCCATTTAATCAAGCTCACCCTTCGTACCTCAACCGTGGCCTTTTTATTTATTCTTTTTTCCTCCTTTGGAGCTTCTGTCTGGTCATCCCCATGTACATTTCCACCACAAACACGTGGCCAAATGTATCTCCAACCGCGCCCAGTTCCACTCGCATAACCCATCATTGTATTCCTGCACAAGTACACCAAAAAAGAAAAAAAAATTCAAGCCCAACACAACACGTGATATTCAAAAATTCTCAAAAATCGTCACTTGACAATTAATTAATTAGGTTTTCGCGTAATCTCAATGATTATGGCATGATTATGGCATGATTATGGCATGATTATTGCACGATCACTGCATGATTATATGAAAATATTGTTGTCACAATAATAATAGTTAATTGAAATACTTCAACGGCAATTCGTCGCCCTCGGGGTGATAATACAAGTTGTATCTTTGATTGACACCCAACACGATGGTTTTTCTATTAACGAGTTATTCGGCTGTTTGAATAGTCCTTTATGCTTATTTATGAGACGAGTGGAATAATAAAAGGTCGATACCACGCCCAACTAATGTGTCGGATGGACTAGCCATTGTCTACTTGTAAAATAGATAGACGGGGGCTGACAACCACCAGCAACACCAGTCATGCAACCTGTGTCAATCCCTCCTCTTCACACCCCCTCGTAACAACTTTTAATCCTTTATTTTTCGTCACCAATCCTGGCTAAAGAGACACTCCCATATTTACCGAGGACATCTATTCCAGGGGTTTATGTGGTGAGTCTCTAGTCTTTTCGAGTATCCAGCAAATTTACGGGTATCTCCAATATGGGCCACGCTAATGGACACCATATAGGTCATGGATCCTTTTTTTTTCATTGGAAAACATTTATTAACTGAATAAATTTATTCTGCTGTTCGTAATGAAATCTTTAATTTTTCACCTGATATATTAATTGTACGAGTGGTCGGTCAATGCCACAGATGCCAGTATTTCCGTAGTCTATTTCAACGATTCACCTCTGGTATTTCGAGCCAAGCTCTAATCTACTAATATACAACCCAGCGTGAGTAAATTATACCGCTTGTTCAATTTCCCGTGAGTTTCCATTTCTAAATAATTATTGAAAGTGAATAAACTTGCTTAGTTGGTGGAAAAAACATTCTATTTTTATCAGATAAATGATTTTTTTCTACACGTGGAATAACCGAGTGTTTGTAGGTCAAAGAAATCGGTAATATAATGAGAATTTAATTTCTCGAATATTTCATTTGTTACATGTTAATTTGTTTCTTAATTTGTTCATTTGTTTCAGTGTTAGGTCTGGTTTTAGAAAAACCATTTCATTGTTCGAAAGCTGTGGGCTGCCGTAACAATAAGATTGCCATCACCCAGGACTTTCTGTTTACAAAGATGAAGACCAGAAGGTCATGCATTTCCATAAGTGAATTTCTTTTCACGTCCATATCGAAAGAATGGCCGAAACCCACTCTGAAAATTTTCCTCGATACATCAAACAGAATTTCCATGCAGTTAAACATTCATAAGTAATGTATAAGTGAATGATAAATTGAGTCCCATCCATTATATTCCGAGAAAATTCCAATGAATCAATAAATAGTAAGGAAATTCT